CACACGCACATTTGAATGGGTGTTACCGGACATTGCAAAAGCCAAGCAGTTTTGGATGGCCATCCAAAAATATTCAATGTGTGAAATAGTATACCAACTTTTGTAGACAAAATACGAAAATGAAATTTTTGTTCCAGATCTAGGAAGACCATTTACGTGCAACATCTACCAATACATTGGAAATGAGCAAATTAGTTTAAGTTGCTATTATTCGAAAATTATAGAACGAAACCTGATGGGTTTCTTTTATTATTTGTCACAGTATCGAGTATCTCGCCTATATAAACTGTATCGTTTATTATAGTGTTGTAGGGTATTCAACGGTCGGCCCCGCTCGACTGTAGCCTTTGCTTACTTGTTATTATTATTATTATTATTATTATTATTTGTTTTATTTTTTTTTTTTTTTATTTCATTTTTTTAAGAACTCTATTTCAATGCTACAATTTCAATTTTCCCCATAAGTAAAGATTTCTTATCATTTTAACTCCACCCTCCTTTTTTGTCAAACTATTCAACTTGACCCATTATATTTAAATTATGATTGTTTGATTCTTTTTTTTTTGGGTTTTCTTATTTTCTCATTTGTTTTTGCCTCTGCCTCATTCACTTTGTTGCACAATTAAATGCGTTTTTAATTCTTTCGAAAAATTGTTTCATTTTCGTCGGCTTTTGGTTGCTGGCTTGTCAGCATTGCCGTAATTGCAAGCAAAACGATTGATCACGTTTTTTTCGGGGGGCAATGACGCAAATCGATTATTGTTCGGATAAGGAAATGATGTTGAAAGGAAATCACAAATGAGAAAAAAATCGAACAATATAGACAGGTAGTTGTTATCCATAGAAGGTGGATGTTTTTTTTTTATTCGATTGTCAATTCTATTGTTTTTTATTTGGGTAAGCAATTAAAAAAAGTTTTAAAATAATGGAGAATTTTTAATTGTCAAAAACAATTGAAAATATGAAGGTCTTTATTCTAATCGGGAACAAAAAATATTGGCAATATTTTGAAAAAAAAACATAGAATATTGATTTAAAGGACAATGTATAATGGTTGGGAAACAAACACCACTATTTCATTATGATGCAAAGAAACAATACAGAGGTCTCAGAATAAGCACGTACTATCCATACTTGATTCTCATACAAAATTTCAATTTAGAAGTTAAGAACCATTTTAGAACTTTTCGCATAATAAAAGTTGGAATTTTCAACAAACCCTGTACATTCTGTTTGTTCAATACGAAGGAATCAATTTTTAGTACTTTTCGTACGGATTTCCAAAAACGGAGCCTTATCACACGCCTACTCACTGAACCTCGTGCAAAATTTCAAGATTCTCTCTTCAGCTGTTTCGTGTGGTTGTTGATTCTTAGTCAGTCAGTTATTGTACTACGTGCCTCGTAGAAATAATGGTTTTAGATCCCAGGACTCGTTGGACCAAATCCGTTTCAGAACATTTCGAGTTGATCTAGAAATGTCCGTCCGTCCGTTCATCTGTCTCTCTGGCTGGTGCGAACGATTGCAATCGAAGGGAGTATCTGAGTTGATTCGAACTTGGTACATGGTAATATTATTATCAAACTTAGATCGAGTTTGTAGATGGGCAATATCGATCCACTACTTCAGACTTGGCTCATCTCAATATTTCCATTAACACAAGATTTTTTATAAAGATGGTAGAGATCGGACCATTCCAAACACCAACCACAACAAAGGCCCACATTTTGAATAACAAAAACGATAATAAAATCCAAAATAAGCATCCGGTTCTCTTCGTCTCATTATTTTTTTACATAACCCATGGTCTGATGTGAATATGGGATACATCACCCCTTTTGGTGCCTCCCCCACAAAGAGTCAAAATAATGAGTATCCATGAAGCTCATTAAACGGGAAATTAACATCCTATTCCATTCAGACTTGCTACATCTACATATTTCCATCAACACAAAATCTATTATAAAGGTGGTAGAGATCGGACCATTTCTTCTCGAACCTCCCCCACATAGGATTCAAGATTTTGGAAAACAAAGCGCTCAAAGAAAGCAAAATAAGCATCCAACTCTCTTCAGATTGCAAAATACAAATTACACATCCAAATATTTTTGCTAACGCAATACCTGTTGTGAAGATGATATATATCTGCAAACCCCTTCTGATACCTAACCCACAGAGGGTCACAATTTTCAATACATTTATCTGTCATAAATTGCGAAACAAGTCAGCGATTCTTTACAAACATGCTATATATAAGTATTTCTCTTAACCCGAAAACTGATATTAATATGTGATTTTTCGAAATGTATGATTTCAAATTTTGCACATACCAATATTTTTATCTGACTTCGGTCCACATTTATACATCTGTCTGCAAAATGCCTGATACCATTTAACTTATTCTCTTTGGTATATTATTGTGATCAACAAACGTATCAAAATTCAAAACAGATCTAGCTACGCTTTAGAGCATACTTTTAGGCGCTTTAAAATATTCCCTAATAAATAAAAATATATCATGAGAAAATAATTTATTCAACGATGCTTTAAAAATTGCATGACATATATTTTATTTTATTAATTAAATTGAATGTAATCATAACAAAAAATAAATCATACCCTGGTTAAATGTTGTTGTCTGACAAATAAATCGCATTTCGTTATTACAAGTTTCATTTCAATATGAACTGTCCGATAAGCAAAAGGTCAGACCATTTTCCATTTATCTTGTAAAGCAAAGTTTACTGAATTCATGTTGCCATAGTTTATATCGATAATATGGCAATAACAAAGAAACATTTTTGGCCCGTTTTCTGTGACTGGTTTCCAATTGGTTATCCATTCATAATTACGATTTATTGCACATACTAGAACGGTACGTAAAAGTATTAAAATGTATCAAATTGTTTAACATTTCGTATCATGCGAACGGAAAAACTTGAAATTTGAAAAGAGAATCAAGCTTGAGTCGATGTAGGAGGGTAGTTTTGGAAGTGTGTACTCATGTATACGAAAAGTACTAAACAGTACTAAATTTAGTACAGTTTGAATTTGAAGGATCGGATGGAGCTGGAATCCTGAAATTAACATTACTGGCGGAGTGTAGGATTGGGATATGAAGGAAATTTTATATTTATGTGCACGAAAAGTACTAAATGGTACTAAATTTGGTACAATTTCGATTTGGGTGAATCGATACTGATGGAATCCTAAAACGTATGAATAAGATTACTATTGCATTCTAGGACTGAGGAATGTAAGTAGTTACGGAAATTCGTACTTATGTGTACTAAATGGTACAGAATTTGGTACAATTTAATTTTTTGAGAACCAACAGAGTTGGAATCCTGAAATTTGGAAATAAGATTACTATTGCATTGTAGGACTGAGGGATGGAGGTAGTGTTACAAATTCCTACCTATGTGAACTAAATGGTACTAAATTTGGTACAATTTAAATTTTGGGTGAACCAATACGGCTGGTATCCTAAAAATTGGAAATAAGATTGCTGTCGGAGTGTAGAATTGGGCTATGTAAATAGTTTTATAAATTTGTACTCACATGTACCAAAATGTACTAAATTTGGTACAATTTAGATAGAGCTGGAATCCTGAAATGTAGAATTGGTATTTTTGGGAATTGGGGTATGTGGAAGCTTTGAAATTTCGTACTTATCTGTAAAAAATGGTACTATACAGGGTGAGATTAAAAAACTGCAATAAAGTCAAACGCCATAATTTTTATATTTTTTTAATTTCATGGAATGAAAGCAAACAATGTCGGAAATAGCATCACATTTTAGAATAAGTTTAGATTTTTTCGATTTGGTCACCTTTGTCACGAATTATGGCCTTCAAACGGCCAATGAAACCGTCACAAACTGCCCAAATGTTGCTCTGCCGTATTTTGACTCATTCCCGGTGCATCGCTTGCGTGAGGTAATCGACACTTTGGTATTTTTTAGTACCAACCTCGCTTTCCAAAATACTCCAGACACAACAGTCCAACGGATTTGTTTCCGGAGATTTTAGTGGCCATTGTGCTCTGGAAATGAAGCGAGGAACCTCATTTTGTAACCATTCTTGGTTCCTGTTGGAATGTCCAAGGTCTACGACCAAAGTGTTTGCGTGCCCAAGGCCTTGATACACCCTCCAGAATATTTTCGCGATAATTATCGGCAATTATGCTGATGTCACGGTCGATTAATATGAGCGGCGACCATGGCCGGCACTTGAGTTCTGGTGGCCAACCGAAGGTGCACATTTTCAACTGACCTCTTTGGCAAGTAAACACGATCATTTTGTTTGTTTACAAACTGCTGAACAACGAAAGTTTTCTCATCGGAGTAAACCAAATACGGCTGTTCACCACTTTCGGCCAAGCGAAGCAACTCTTTAGCTCTTTTGAGTCTATTCTGTCTGTCTTTCTTTTGCGGTGTAAGTTCTTGCATTTTTTGAAATTTCAATGGCTTTACCCCGAGCTCATTTTTCAATATTTGCCGAATGGAATATTGCGATGTGTTCAGATCACGAGCCTTTTCTTTGGCCACTGCGACGCGGTTTTCGAACGTCGAAGTCGCTTCTTTACTTTTCGAACTATTTCTGCTCATGTTGCTGTTTTTCTTCCGTTTACTTCCTTGACGTCGCGCTACGCTACCAGCATCACGGTAACGAGCGATGGTACGAGACACAAAAGATTTATTCACATTTAAATGCTGGTTGTGCTCTAACTATAGCAACTCGTGGTTTTCCAGCCAAATATAAAGAAATCACACTATCACGCATGAATTACATCACGAATAACTTTTTTTCACAAAAATGCTTTTGTTCGCTTGTAAGCAACATAATGAGTTGTCAGTGGAATAATTTTAACAGCTGTCGGCCGAGTGGCTTGGAAATGACAGCAGTTTGAAGTTGGTTTGCAGTTTTTTTTATCGCACCCTGTATTATTATATGCCTTTCTTACCCTTTCCAATTAGAATCTAAAGTTATTTTTAAAAGTTTTTTTTGGTTTTGAATTTTATTCTTATCAAAAAAAAAAACACAAAATTAACTCAAAAATTATTACAAAATAAATACTTAAGATTATTTAACATAATAACATTACTGGCCCTGTGTCATCCAGTACTCGCAAAATCCAAAATTCTCTCAATATTCCTCCCGACTTATCGTTGGTATTGTACCGTCATTTAAACACCTCACATTCAGCTGTTCGATTTGATGTTTCTGGAATATAATACCCAACAGGCCATATTGTATTTCAAACAACGAAGTGCGGTGGGTGCGGGGCACCTTCATGCCCACCACCAATGCCAATAGACTTCCGATTATGATGAAAACGAAACCTTGAGACATCAGGGTACTTATATCGGTCGAATAGAAATATGAATTCTTTGCATTTGCCACGAAATAATAGTAGATCACCGATGTTGAGAGCAATTTCAGTAGATACGATACATAGATCAACAGCTCCAAATAACGGAAGTGGGCCACCTCGACAAGAAGTATTTGTAAATTCGAAAATGTCATGCCAAAGAAAAACAACACCAACCAGAAGGGCACCGAGGTCTTGACGGAATTGCAAATGATCATGCTCAATATGGTCAACACGATCAGACACAATTGATTGGCGACAAATGTCACTTTAACCGAAACAAACACCAGCGGTATCAGGACCAAAGCACTGCCGGCATATATCACCCAAAACATCAAATCGATATTCAAGATGTCCGTCACCCGCACCGCATTGTTCAGCGAGAACCAAAATGCGAAATAAATGAAAAGGGAATATTGAATGGCCTCCGTGAAGATCAGCAGCAGCGTAACATTCCATTGTTGATTTTTGGTAACATAGAAAAATTCAATACGCTTAATGATCTCATCCCGCTTATCGAAAATCGAGCCATTCGAGTTGGCAATACGCAAATCATTGTCCAAACTATTTTCACTATCCGTCGTGCCGAAATAGTTCAGCACCACAATGCCAATTAGCAGGGCGAGAACCACAACTGACATGGACAAATATACTCCAGCAAAGTCGACATAAATTCCATGGATCAATTCCTGCGGGGTGCCATTACTGTTCTCCATGGCATTTTTCGTGTACGAAGTTCCAATCAAACTGACCGCCGAAGCCATGCCGAGTATGTAAAAGCTGAAAGCTATTGCCATGAACAGGGCCCGGGTACCTTTGCTCAGAATCGTGTGCAAAAAACTGAGCCCGGCCAAAAATGTCAAACTGTGACCCAGATACGAGATGAAGGCGCCGACATTATCTGCAACGAGAAATTCGAAAAATTTTATTAATTATAAGGAGAATTTCTTAGGAAAAAGAATTTATGGAGATTAAGCGGTTTAGAGAGTAAATTTGATTAGTCTTTTTTTTGAAGAAAACTCAATATCACGGACTATTTAGTGCTTTTTATTTGCCATGTCACTCCAATATCTCGATATATTTATCTGAGACTCTCAGTTACCGTCATAAGAGAATTCATAGTATGATCTCTATTCCTACAGATATATCAAATTTAGTACCATTTAGTACTTTTCTTACATATCATGTTACGCGTTACTAAATTCGCCTCCTTATCTAAACTCTATACAGTCACAACATTTAAAATTCTAGTTCTTGTCCTACACTCAAAATCAAAATCTCTACCTAAACAACAACATTGATCCAAAATTAGTACCATTTAGTACTTTTAGAACAATTTGAATGCAATTGAAAAACAATCTCCATATCTCACACACAGATACCATCAGTAATGTAAATATCAAATTTCAGAATTGTATCTCTATCTCTTCACCCAATATCAAATTTAGTACAATTTAGTACTTTTCGTACAATTATAGCACAAATTTTCAAAACGATCTCCTTATCTCAATCTTAGATACCAACAGTGACCTTAATATCAAATTTCAGCATTTCAGCTTTTTTATTACCCTCATTACCAAATTAAGTACCATTTAGTACAGTTATAGTACGTATATCCAAAACCATATCCTTCTCTCAACGTCAGATACCAACAGTGACATACGTATCAAATTTCTGGATTTAAATACCATTACTTCACACAGTACCAAAATTAGTACTTTTCGTACAATTTTAGTACACATTTCAAAAACCACCTTCATACCTCAATTGCGAAAACCAACAGGGACCCTTATATGAAATTTGAGGATTTCAGCTCAATCCCTTCACCCAATATCATGTTTAGTACCATTGAAACCATCTCGATTCTAGATACCAACGGCGAACTTAACATAAAATTTGAGAATTTCAGCTCTATTCCTTCACCCAATTCCAAACTCGGTACAATTTAGTACTTTTCGTACAATTATAGAACACATTTCCAAAATCACCTCTATATCTCAACTCCAGCTACCGACGGAGACCTTAATCTAAAATTTGAGGATTCCTGCCCTTATTCCTTCAACCAATACCAAATTTAGTACTTTTTGTACAAATAAAGGACGCATTTCCAAAGCCACCTTCATATCGTAACCACAGACACCAACAGTGACATCTATATCAAATTTCAGGATTCTAGCTCTATCCGTTCATCCAATACCAAATTCAGTACTATTTAGTACTTTTCGAACAATAAAAGTACACATTTCCAAAACCACCTCCATATGTCACATCCCGATACCAAAAGAGACCTCAATAACGAATTTGAGGACTCCTGGCCCACTCCTTCACCAAACAATAAATTTAGTACCAATTTGTATTTAAAAAAAAAAAACATAGGATGAATTTCCAAACCAACTCCAAATCTCAAATACAGATATCATCAGAAATCTCAGAATCAAATTTTAGAATTTTATCTCTGTTCATTCACCTAATACCGAATATAGTATCAATCAGTACTTTTCGTACAATTAAAGTACACATTTCTCATACCACCTCCATATCTAAATTTCATATCAAATTTGTCCTCAATATTAAATTTGGGGATTCTAGCTCTACTTCTTCACCTAAAAACTATTTTAGTATCATTTAGTACTTTTCGTACAATTATAGAACACATTTCCCAAACGACGTCCATATCTCAATTACAGATATCAACAGATACCTTAATATCACATTTCAGTATTCCAGCTCCATACCTTCACTAAATACCAAATATAGTACCATTCAGTACTTTTCGTGCAAATATAGTACGCCTTCCAAAACAACCGCTTAATCTTAACCGCGGACACCAACAGTGACATCTTTATGAAATTTCGGGATTCCAGCACTATCCCTTCACCAAATACCCAATTTAGTACCATTTAGTACCTTTCGTACAATTATAGTACACATTTCCCAAACCACGTTCATATCTCAATTACAGATATCAACAGATACCTTAATATCAAATTTCAGGATTCCAGCTCCATACCTTTACCTAATACCAAATATAGTACCATTCAGTACTTTTCGTGCATATATATAGTACGCAATATAGTAAATATAGTACGCCTACAAAAACCACCGCTAAATCTTAACCACGATATCAACAATGACATCTTTATTAAATTTCGGGATTCCAGCACTATCCCTTCACCCAATACCCAATTTAGTACCATTTGGTACTTTTCGTACAATTATAGTACACATTTTCCAAACCACCTCCATATCTCCATTTTTAGATATCTTAATAAAAAATTTAAGGATTCCAATCTTAAAGCTTTATTCCTTCACCCAGTACCAAAGTTAGTACTATTTAGTACTTTTCATACATATCCCAAAACCACCTGCATATCCTCATTCCAGATACCAGCAGAGACCTCAATATTAAATTTAAAGATTCTAGCCCTAAACATTCACCTAATACCAAATATAGTACCATTCGGCACTTTTGGTACAATTACAGGGCGAAATGAAAAAACTGCAACCATCTGCAGACTACTGTCATTTCCCAGCCACTCGTCCGACAGCTGTTAAAATTATTCCAGTTACAGCTCATTATATTGTTTACAACCGTACAAAAGCATTTTTGGTCAGAATTTTCCAGAAAAAAAGTTATTTGTGATGGAATTCAAGCGTGATAGTGTTATTTCTTTATATTTGGCTGGAAAACCACAAGTGGCTATCGTTAGGACACTCCAGCATTTAAATGTGAATAAATTTTTTGTGTCTCGTATTATCGCTCGTTACAGGGAAACTGGTACCCCGTAGCCCGACGTCAAGTAAGTGGACGGAAGAAAACAGCAACATCAGCAGAAATGGTTCGAAAAGTAATGAAGCGACTTGATTGAAGCGCGCGTCGCAATGGCCGAAAAATGGCTCGTGAGCTGAACTTATCGCAATATTCCATTCGACAAATATTGAAAAATGAGCTGGGGGTAAAGCCATTGAAGTTCCAAAAAGTGCAAGAACTTACATCGCAACATAAAGAAAATAGACTCAAACAAGTAAAAAAATATTAAGTTCGGCCGGGCCAAACTTTTAATACCCTCCACCTTAGGGTAAAAGAAACATTAGAAGAAATGTGGCAGAAACCATTAAAATGCCGAATATCGGGAGGTACCGTTATATGGGGGCTACACCAAAATGTGGACCTATAATTACAATGTTTCGCTACACAAACTAGGACCCATTAGGACCCACAAATACCAATTTTTAGACAAAGCAGTGGAAAAATGTTGCAAAAACCATCAAAATACCGAATATCGGGATGTACCGTTATATGGGGGCTATATCAAATCATGGACCCATGCATGCAATGTTTCGCCACCGAAGCTGGAACCCATTATGACCAACAAATACCAATGTGGCAAAAAATGTGGCAAAAATCATCAAATTACCGAATATCGGGAGGTACCGTTATATGGGGGCTATACCAAAACGTGGACCTATAATTACAATGTTTCGCTACATGAACTAGGACCCATTATGACCCACAAATACCAATTTTTAGACAAATCAGTGAAAAAATGTGACAAAAACCATAAAAATACCGAATATCGGGAGGTACTGTTAAATGGGGGCTATACCAAAACATGGACCCATACATGCAATGTTTCGCCACCGGAGCTGGAAACCATTATGACCCACAAATACCAATTTTTAGACAAATCCGTGAAAAAATGTGGTAACAAAAATTAAAATACCGAATATCGGGAGGTACTGTTATATGGGGGCTATACCACAACGTGGACCTATACATGCAATGTTTTGCTACACGCTCAGGGACCCGTTATGACCTACAAATACCAATTTCCAGACAAATCCGTGAAAAAATGTGGCATAAATCATCAAAATACCGAATATCAGGTGGTACCGTTATATGGGGACTATACCAGAACGTGGACCGATATATCTGATTTTCAATACCAACCATCCTAGACACAATGCAAATAGCTCTGCTAAATTTTGGCGCTCTACGTCAAATAATGGGGGCTGTATCGTGATTTCAACAGACAGACAGACGGACAGACAGACGGACATCGTTAAATCGACTTAGAATTTTATGCTGATTATGAATATATATACTTTATGGGGTCTAAGACGAACATTTAAGGATGTTACAAACGGAATGACAAAGTTAATATACCCTCCTTTCCAAGGTGGAGGGTATAAAAAGCTAAAGAGTTGCATTCGTTGTCCAGCAGTTTGTAAACGAACAAAATGGTCGTGTTTACTTGCCAAAGAGGTCAGCTGAAAATGTGCACTTTCGGTTGGCCACCAGAACTCAAGCGCGGGCCATGGTGATGGTGTGGGCCGCCATAACAGCCGATGGTCGTTCTCCGCTCGTATTAATCGACCGTGGCATCAGAATAAATGTCGAATATTATCGCGAAAATATTCTGGAGGGTGTATTAAAGCCTTGAGCACGCAAACATTTTGGCCCAAGAATGGTTACAAAATGAGGTTCCTCGCTTCATTGCCATACCCACCAAAATCTCCGTTGGACTATTGTGTTTGGAGTAATTTGGAAAGCAAGGTTGGCACTAAAAAATACCAAAGTGTCGATCACCTCAAGCAAGCTCTTCACCGGGAATGGAGTGACGGTTTCATTGGCCGTTTGAAGGCAATATTCGTGCCAAAAGGTGACCAATTCGAACAAGTCTAAACTTATTGTAAAATTTGATGCTATTTCCGATATTTTTTGTTTTCATTCAATAAAATGTAAAAATTATGGTATTTGACTTTGTTGTAGTTTTTATCTCACCCTGTATAGTAGACATTTCCGAAAGCACCTCCATATGTCCCGGCTGCACATGAACAGCGACCCAAACACCATATTTCAGATTTTAAACACACATTTCAAATGTACCAAATATGGTACATGTACCAAATATGGTACAAATGTATGGTACATGTACCAAATGTGGTACAAAATGTATGGTACATGTACCAAATACGGTACAAATGTATGGTAATATTTAGTACTTTTTGTGCACTTGAAGTACACACTTCCAAAATCACATTTTTATTAGGGATCCCAATACAAAATTTCCAAATTTCATCCGTTCACCCTAAACCAAACTGCTCCAAATTGAGTACCATTTAGTACCAGTTCGCACACTTAGTACACATGTCCAAAACCACCTTCATATATCAAACATACTTTAAAACTTTGATTCTCATACCAAAGTTTAACCGTCTAACCGTTCACATAATACCAAGTTGTACCATTTCAGAAGTTAAGTACTATTTTGGATTTTTTCGTAGTCTTAAAATGCGAATTTCGAAAAACCCTGCACTCCCTCAGTGATTCCAAATTTCTAGCTCACTCCGTTTGTCTAATACAAAGCATAGTACATTTTAGTACTTTTCGTTTCCTTTTAGTACTAAAAAACCACACCTACGCACCAAGACTGACCCTGGTAAAAAATGGAAAAATTTTAGTTTGAGCCGTGTCATCTGGGCGTTGATTCTCGGTCTGTCAGTTACTATCACTGTTATTTCACTACTCCTTTATATATATAGACATGAGCGATTTGTCCTATAAAATACATGTCAAATGTGTTTTAATATACGTACATCCATTACATGTCTTGCAAAATTCTGTTGACGTATATCTTTATTAAATATAGAACTTAAAAGTATAGAACCTTCTCCCCCATTCCAATGGCTCTCTCTCTCTACTGTATTTTTGCGGCGACACATTTCTAATCCATCATAGCTCCCCCTCCTGTCCCTATGCCTGTTTATTTTACCTTATCATTTGTAATATAGTCTAACCATTTGACAAGTTTATTTTAGCCAAAAAGTATTAACGTTTTCATTTTGGTCTTAGTTCATGTTTTAGTCGTTTTATTATTTTTTTTTCAACATTTCTTATCTTAATTACGGAGGTTGTTGTCATTTTGTATAAAAAGAAAATAATAAAATAAAACATTTCGAAAATTTTCGTGTCTCGCATTAAATATTTTGCCAAAAAAAATATTTGGTTAGCCTTTTTTCGACGGTTAACAAGCGGTAGCTAATTGTGCTGTGACAAAAAAAAGAATTACTGAAAATAAAAAATTGCCTTTATTTTCTTAATCAATAATTAAAAACGTATTGAAAAGATAACTTTTTATGGCAAGAATTTGAGCATGAAATGAGCATTAAATTCATGTTCTAAAGTTCGTGTATTTTCGATGGTGAAAATTGTCATTTCTGTTGCCGATTTGGAATTAGTTAATAATTTTGCCACTATTTCGGTGATTTTTTTTTTATATCAGAAAATTAATTGAAAATATTTCAAGTACATAGGCACTCGAGAAATAACAGAAATATTTGAGTATTAATTTTTAGTCATTGTTCTTATCTAAAGGAATTGTTTTGGTATAATGCTCCTTTTGGCCTCAAACACTAAGTAAATTGTTTCATTGGACTTTCATACAAAAGAACAATAATTTTGGAGATAAATTTTCTCAAAGCCATTGGTATAAAAGATACAGTAATTAAATTATCAAAATATACAGGGTGCGATAAAAAAAGACTGCAACAAAGTCAAACACCATAATTTTTACTTTTTTAATTTTATTGAATGAAAGCAAAAATATCGGAAATAGCATTGAATTTTAGAATAAGTTTAGATTGGTTCGAATTGGTCACCTTTGGCACGATTAATGACCTTCAAACGGCCAATGCAATCGCCACACTCTGCCCGAAAGTTGCTCTGCGGTATTGTGGCCCATTTCCGGAGAAGCACTTGCTTGAGGCCACTTTGGTATTTTTTAGTGCCAACATGAGTTTCCAAAATCCTACAGACACAATAGTACAACGAATGGATATCTGGAGATTTTGGTGGCCATTGTGCGATTGAAATGAAGCGAGGAACCTCATTTTATAACCATTCCTGGGTGGCGCGTACTGAGACCTGTTGGAATGTCCAAGGTCTACGGCCAAAATGTTTGCGTGCCCAGAGTATTTACGCGATAATATTCGGCATTTATTCTGATGCCACGGTCGATTAATACGAGCGGAGAACGACCCTCGGTTGTTATGGCAGCCCACACCATCACCATGGCCTGCGCTTGAGTCCTGTTGGAATATCCAAGGTCTGCGGTCAAAATGTATGCGTGCTCAAGGCTTTAATACACCCTCCAGAATATTTTCGCGATAATATTCGGCATTTATTCTGATGCCACGGTCAATTAATAAGAGCGGAGAGCGACCATCGGCTGTTATGGCGGCCCACACCATCACCATGGCCGGCGCTTGAGTCCTGGTGCTGGAATCCAAGGGTGCACATTTTCAGCTGACCTCTTTGGCAAGTAAACACGATCATTTTGTTTGTTTACAAACTGCTGGACAACGAATGTTTTCTCATCGGAGCGGAGAAACCCAAATTCGGCAGTTCTCCACTTTCGGCCAAGCGAAGCAACTTTTGAGCTCTTTTGAGTCTATTTTCTTTCTATTGCGGTATAAGTTCTTGTACTTTTTGGAATTTCAATGGCTTTATCCCGAGCTCATTTTTCAATATTTGCCGAATGGAATATTGTGATATGTTCAGCTCACGAGCCATTTTTCGGACACTGCGACGTGGGTTTCGATTAAGTCGCTTCTTTACTTTTCGAACCATTTCTGCTGATGTTGCTGTTTTCTTCCGTCCACTTCCTTGATGTCGGGCTACGCTACCAGTATCACGGTAACGAGCGATAGTACGAGACACAAAAGATTTATTCAAATTTAAATACTGGAGTGCTCTAACGATAGCCACTTGTGGATTCCCAGCCAAATATAAAAAAATCACACTATCACGCTTGAACTCCATCACGAATATTTTTTTTTCTGGAAAATTCTCAACAAATATTTTGTACACATGTAAACAATATTATGATGTGCTGTCACTGAAATAATTTAAACAGCTGTCGGACGAGTGGCTTAGAAATGATAGCAGTCTGAAGTTGGTTGCAGTTTTTTCATCTCATCCTGTATAGTAGAAAGTATACATTTGACAGTGCGTCGACCTACTGTGATTCTAACACATTTTTTTTTTAATTACTACACCTATGTTGCCTAGAGTATTCGAATTATTTTTTATTTGATAAGATATTAAGTATGTTTTTGTTTTCTACTTCGATGACTATGATTCATACCTATTGATCTTTTCGACGCTTCATTTAAAACAAAAATAGTGATTAAAAAAACCAATTGAATTGTATGACTAAGGCAAAAAAAAAAGTTCCTGAAACTCTAAATAAACACATGCATAAATCTCTGTCTGGATTAATCCTTATGTGGTGTACATGCCTTAAATCTGAGGAAAAGCCTTTTAATTTGACCCAGAAAAAAGTACATAATGTCGACCTATGGATTTAAATTACAGCAATATTTCGGAAAGAATAATAGTTTACCAAGGAGGATATTAGAAAAACCATAGCACAATGAACCAAAGATACCAACAGTGATCTTAATATAAAATTTAGTACCATTTATTACAAATATTGTACGCATATCCAATACCAGCTTCTTCTCTCAACAACAGATACCAATATAAAATTTCAGGATTTCAGCTCTATTCCTTTTTAGTACTTTTCGAACAATTATAATACACATTTCCCAATTCCAGATACCAACAGAGACCTCAATATGAAGTTTGAGTATTTTAACCCTTTATCCAATACCAAATTTAGTACCTTTTGTACAAATGTAGAATGCATGTCCAAACCACCACTAAATCTCAAAGACAGTCACTATCAGCAATCTTAATATCAAATAACTTTTCCCCAATACCAAATTTAGTACGCCGATAATGTCCATTTTCACACCTGACTTAGCGCTAATAAAAAATTTATAATAAAAATGTTGCTGTTGATGGCTTTTAAAAATATTTTTAAAAAATCCAGGACGCCTATTGTTGTCCCTTAAAAAAATATTTCTAAAAAAATCCACGATACCTATTGATGGCCCTTGAAAAAATATTTTTAAAAAATCCCGCCTATGGATTTAAAAAATATTTTTAAAAAATCCAGGACGCCTACTGTTAGCCCTTGAAAAAATATTTTTAAAAAATCCACGCCTATTGATGACTCTTGAAAAAAATAATTTTTAAAAAATCTACACCTATTGATGGCCCTTGAAAAAATATTTTTAAAAAAATCCACGCCTATTGATGACCCTTGAAAAAAATAATTTTTAAAAAATCCGCACCTATTGATGGCCCTTGAAAAAATATTTTTTTAAAAAATCCACGCCTATTTATGACCCCTGAAAAAATAATTTTTAAAAAATCCACACCTAATGATGTCCCTTGAAAAAATATTTTCAAAAAATCCCCGCCTATATATGGCCCTTAAAAAATATTTTGTAAAAATCCCCACCTTTCTATGACCCTTGAAAAAAATTATTTTAAAAATACCCGCTATTGATGGCCTTTAAAAAACTTTTTAAAAAATGTAGGCCTATTGATGGCGTTTTAAAAAGAAAAACTTTTTAAAAAATTTAGGCCTATTGATGGCCCTTGAAAAAACATTTTTTAAAAAATCCACGCCTATTGATGGCCCTTGAAAAAATATTTAAAAAAAATCCATGCCTATTGATGGCCCTTGGAAAAATATTTTAAAAAAATCCATGCCTATTGATGGCCCTTGGCCCTACTGTTAGCCCTTGAAACAATATTTTTTAAAAATCCCCAACTATTGATGGCCTTTGAAAAAATCTTTTAAAAAAATCCACGCCTATTGAGGGGACTTGAAAAAATATTTTCCAAATCCGCGCCTAATGATGGCCCTTGAAAAATAAAAAAAATGAAGACCTACCAAAGTCTACTCAATTTTTTTCCCAATTTTTTCTTTCCCTTGATTTTTAAAGGATTACTTACCCAAATCATCGGCGAAATAGAAACAACTCGATATGAAATGAAACACACCAGCAACCAGCAGGATATACATGTGCCAGAAAACAATGCGGGAACGGAAGAATTTCACAAAGAACATTATCATGGCGGCTACAAAGCCCCAGCAGGCGCCCAATATTAGAGGCCCATAGACAATTACTCCGCTATCCACATCACGTTCGGCCACAAACGAGGAGATCGTATAACCAAAAACCAGACCACATGGCAAGAAACTTAGGCACACTTGAATATTTTTTGTTCAGAATGAAAAAAATATTATTTCATTATTTTATAATTTTAATTAAAACGAAACACCATTGCTTAGACTTAGATAAGAACACTATTTTTTCAATAGGAATTTCCACTATAACCAAGATTAGAACGCACCTACAATACTGGGAGCAAATTGTAAGAACTTATACACAAATCTCTCCCATAGACCTTTTATATTTGCCATTTTTATGTTACTTTTTTATTTTTAATATTTTTTTCTTTTATTAGAACATCACTTTATGGCAAATTTTAATTTTTTTGAATAATTTTCAATAATTTTGTATAATTTATTTTTGTTTTAATGTTTAATTTTTTTCCGCTTCGTTTCGTTTTGGTTCGATATTAACTCTACTCGAATTTTGTTATTACTGAGTATTTTTTTTATTTTGTTTAAACAAATGTTACTTTTTTATGGAATTTTGCCCGGTGAGCGTAGATGGCCAAAACTTTTGTTGATATGAACAACCACCACAACACGACGGCGACAAAGAAGACGGCAATGACAACAAACGTCTGGTTCCAAATACCTTCCTTCGCTGTGCTCTTTGTTGAGGATTGCCGAGTTCTTCTCCGATAAAATAATGAATTTCATTTCATTGGACGACCAGCTGATAAGATAAAAATTATTATTGACTTTATCGCGCCGAAAAACAACCGCCGCCACAACCCTCCCTCTGCTATTTTAAAAGATTGAGTGACTATTTTGTTTTGCTTTTTTTTCCTTGCCAGCTGGCCATAAGCTACGCACTCACTGAGTATTCACAAGTTTTATGTGACTTGATTTGAGCCAATATAGAACGTTATATTTCCATATCGTATTACTCATCAACGCGATCACTTTATGGGGCATTCCAAATGGGGTAGTGTTTATGTGGGTGTTGAGGGTTTAGGGAATTACTCATTTTTGCAAAGTGATGGATCGGTGTTCCAACCAGATACCACAACATTACTATTTTTATATATTAGGGCCTTGAAAAATATCCCATAAAAATCCAACATTATTAATAAAAGAGATCGAAAAAAAAAATTCTTAAAAAATCGAAAAAAATATTTTTAAAAAATCCATGATGACACTGTGCAACAATAAATCAGGGGGGTGGGAAGTTCTGAGTGGAGGTAATGGCCTGAAAACTCGAAATTAAAGTTTAGGAAAAGTTCTAAAACGTCACTAAACTTCTAAGATGGTACCACTATTTGAACGAATAGAGCAAAAAACTTGAAGTCTGATGTGAGAATCAAGGTTGGAAGGTAGGTTTGATACATGAAGGTGGTTTCTGGAAATGTGTACTTAGTGTATGAACTGTTCTAAATCGTAATAAATTTAAAACAGTTTGGTTTAGGGTGAACGGATGAAGCTGTGTTTGTGATATAGCGATGGCTTAGAGATGTGCACTATAATTGTACGGAAATAACTAAACAGTACCAAACTTTCGAATTGGGTGAAGGAATAGAGCTGAAATCCTGAAATTTGATACAGATACCACTGTTAGTGTCTGTGTCTTAAGATAGGAAGGTGGATTTGGAAATGTGTACTATATATGTACGAAAAGTACTTAATGGTACTAAATTTGGTACTGGGTGAAGGTAGAGCTATGGAATCCCCAAATTTGAAATTGAGGTGTCTATTGGTGTCTGTGGTCAAGATATTGAAGTGGTTTAGGAAATGTGTACTTTAATTGTACTAAAGGGTACTAAATTTGGCAATAGGGGAAATACAGAGCTAAAATATTTAAATTTTATATAAAGGTAATAGTTGGTATCACATATTGAGATATGGAAGAGGTTTTGGATGTGTGCATTATAATCGTGCGAAGTGTACTAAATGGTACTAACTTTAGTCAAGAATAAAGGGATAGAGATAAAATTCTGCGATTTTTCATTTTCGAAAATTGATAATGAGGTCTCCGTTGGCATCGGGTATTGAGATATGCATGTGGTTTTGGAAATGTGTACTATAATTGAACGAAAAGTACTAAATAGTACAAAATTGCGTATTGGGTGAAGGAAGAGGACTGGAATCCTTAAATTCGATATTGTGGACTCTATTAGTATCTGAAATTAATATGTAAAGATAGTTTGAAAAATGTGTACTACAATTGTACAAAAAATACTTAATTTCGTACTGGGTGAAGGGATAGAGCTGAAATCTTCAAACTTAATATTTATTTCACTGTTGGCGTCTATGATTGAAAGAAGGATCCAGTTAGGGAAATATGTACTACGATTTTACGAGAAAGTACTAATGTACTTGTACCAGAAGAAATGAATCGACAAATTCCACATTCATACCAGATCTTATGTTAATCGAAATATTTGGATGTGCGAAATTTGGGAGAATCGGCCATACGTCAAGGGTATACAGGGTGAAATGAAAAAACGGCAACCAACTTCAGACTGCTGTCATTTCTAAGTCACTTGTCCGACAGCTGTTAAAATTATTCCAGTGACAGCTCATTATATTGTTTACAAGCGTACAAAAGCATTTTGGTGAGAATTTTCCAGAAAAAAAGTTATTCGTGATGGAATTCAAGCGTGATATTATATTTGGCTGGAAAACCACAAGTGGCTATCGTTAGAGCACTTCAGTATTTAAATGTGAATAAATCTTTTGTGTCTCATACAATCGCTCGTTACCGCGATACTGGTAGAGTCGCCTGACGTCAAGGAAGTGGGCGGAAGAAAACAGCAACATCAGCAGAAATGGTTCGAAAAGTAAAGAAGCGACTTCATCTAAACCAGCGGCGCAGAGGCCGAAAAATGGCTCATGAACTGAACGTATCGCAATATTCCATTTGGCAAATATGGAAAAATGAGCTCGGGGTAAAGCCATTGAAATTCCAAAAAGCACAAGAACTTACACCGCAACAGAAAGAAAAAAGACTTTCGCTTGGCCGAAAGTGGTAAATTGTCGAATTTGGTTTTCTCCGGTGAGAAAACATTCCCTGTCCAGCAGTTTGTAAACAAACAAAATGATCGTGTTTACTTACCAAAGAGGTCAGAAAAAACGTGCACCTTCGGTTGGCCACTAGAACTGAAGCACCGCCCATGAGGATGGAGTAGGCCGCCATAACAGCCGATGGTCACCCTCCGCTTGTATTAATCTACCGTGGCATCATAATAAATGCCGAATGTTATCGAGAAAATATTCTGGAGGGTGTATTAAAGCCTTGGGAACGGAAACATTTTGGCCGCAGACCTTGGACATTCCAACAGGACTCAGCACCATCGCACTCAGCACGCTCCACTCATGAATGGTTACAAAATGAGGTTCCTCGCTTCATTTCCAGCTCACAATGGCCACCAAACTCTCCGGATACCAATCCGTTGGACTATTGTGTCTTGCTTTTGGAAAGCAAGATTGGCACTAAAAAATATCAAAGTGTCGATCACCTCTAGCAAGCACTTCGCCGGGAATGGGCCAAAATACCGCAGAGCAAAGTTCGGGCAGCTTGTGACGGTTTCATTGGCCGTTTGAAGGCCATTATTCGTGCCAAAGCCGAACAATTCTAACAAATCTGAACTTATTCTAAAATTTGATGATTTTTTTTCTTCCATTCAATAAAATTTAAAAATTATGGCGTTTTACTTTGTTGCAGTTTTTTATATCACCCTGTATACTTGACAGACATTCCGATGTTTTTTGGCTGACATTATGGGCCAATCGTAAAATTTATTGCATGTATAGCTCTTTAAATATCACATAATCTAAATACCCCCTAACTGCATGATTCAACCACCTCCACCGTCGTCAGCATCAAAACAACAACATACTCCGTTCGTTGTGTTTTGAAATTAAATACAGAATCAGATTTTAATTATAGACCTGCATGTTTCGTAGTATGTAAGGCAAATATTATATCTTATCGATAACTGAATGAATGCCGAGCGAAATATTTTCAGATCGAACTTCAAAATGAAAAAAAAACAAACGAAGAAGCCAAGAAAAGTGGTTTTTGCGAGAAAAAGAAATCTTTGTAATTGTCTCTCTTTTTTTCGCTGGAAATCATTGATTTTCTGCTCTGCATTTGGCTTTTTTTTATTTTATCTCATTTCAAGATGAGTCAATTATTTCTGCCATCGGAAACGTTACAGCTCCCATGAAGAAATATACAAGGCAATTCTTAGATAGTACCTAACCAGCTATTCGTAAAATGAATATCTCAGTACGATTTTAACCATAAATGGAAAGGGAGTTCATTTTGGAATTTGAAAAAAAAAATAGCAAATAAAAAAGAATGTATTTTTTCTGTGATTTCTTAAGTATGGACTCTTGTCGGGGGAAAATTCTCTAACGCGATCTCTAAAGCCATTCTTTCATCTCTCATTTACAGTTTTTGGTTGCCTATTTGTCAGTGGCTTCCACTATGGCTACTACTGCAAATATGCCTATGCCTACGATAATCTCTGGAATCATTGGTTCTCTCTGGTGGGCATTATTTTGTGTCTAATTCTGGCCGTCGGTTGGTGTCTGCGAAAATACAAAAAGAAAAAATATCTTTTTGAGAATTTCTATGTGATATTCTATGGTTTGATATGCAGTATAATAAGTGCAGTATTTCTTTTGTCGGAAAATGTGGGTGAGTATTCGGAAAATCGTTTAAAATGACTATACATTGAAGTGTTTCTCCATTCCCAACTCATTTCGCCACGTTGCAGTCGTTTGATATAGGAGATATTATCCTCCCCCTCTCAAGTTGGTCATTAATTTAAGCCTAGGGCTTATAATGCAGTGTGTCTCTAGATCTCTCTTTGTGCCTTCACTCCAGTAATGGAGTGAATTTCAGAATTGGAATCAAATTTTGGCACCTCGTAGTATTTTGAATAAATATTTTCAAGGAAGTTTTCTTGTAAAACTCCTTACAGGGACTTCAATTGTAATTTTCTCAAAACGATGGTTCAGTATTGATTCCTCCAAAAATCTGAAACTTATCTCAAATACCCCTCACCAGCAACAATCTATTATCAAATTTTTGCATTCAGCGATGATGTCACCGTTCAGTTACTTAGACATCTTTAATACACTCCAGGTCCCACGCAAAATCGTGAAGGTGTGTGTGGTTTCACACCCGATCCTTCAGAGAAGCATTGGACTGGATAGGACTGAGGATGCATCGACACATTTAATCTCTTATAGTACATGGTCAAAAATTCTTCAACACTATCAGAATCCAAGGCAGTTCACAGCCCAGATAGATGATGGTTCAGTAGTGAGTACTCCAAAAGCCTGCCCAAGACTTATTCCATACAATCCACACCAATAACAACCTCATATCAAGCTTTTAGCTTCAGCGATGATGTCACCGTTCGGTAACTTAGACATCTTCAACGCACTCCATTTCCCACGCAAAATCGTACATTTTTGAGCAGGGCAAGTCTTCCTGGCCTAGGAAGACCTTCGGCTTTGTACGATAGGAATGAGGATGCATCTATACTTATATCTCTGCCACAGATTCTGGTGGTGTCTTATAAATGTTGTCCATGTAACATTTATTAGACACCACCAGAATTTATGGCAGAATACAGCCGAGGTACAGGGTGAGATAAAATAAACTGCAACAAAGTCAAACGCCACAACTTTCATATTTTTATACCCTCCACCAAAACCATTTGTAACTCCTCAAAATACTCATGTAAGACCCAAAAAAGTATATATATTCTTGATCAGCGTAAAATTCTAAGACGATTTAGCGATGTCCGTCTGTCTGTGACATGTGTGACATGTTCATTTTGCCAGTAGACATGTTAAGTTCGTAAATGGACCATGTAGGTCCACGTTTTCATATAGCCCCCATATAACGGTATCTCCCGATATTCGGTTTTTTGATGATTTCAGCGACATTATTCCCTGAAATTGTTTCAACTTTGGAACTTGAAGTTCGTAATGGATACTGCAGCCTATGGCAGAAAATTGTCTGTGCAGGTCCACGTCTTCGTATAACTCCCATAGAACTGTACCTCCCTATATTCGGTATTTTGATGATTTCAGCGACATTATTCACTGGAATTGTTTGAAATTTGGCATTTTAAGTTCGTAATGAATACTACAGCCTAAGATATAAAAGCGTCTGTGCAGGTCCACACCTTCGTATAGCCCCCATATAACGGTACCTCCCTATGTACGGCATTTTGATGATTTTAGGTACAATACTCTCCGAAATTGTTTGAGATGTCATATTTGAAGTTCGTAATGGATGCTACAGGCTGTAACAGAAAGTTATCTATGCAAGTCTAGGTCTTCGTATAGCTCCGATATAACGATACTACCCTTTATACGGCTATATTCGTTTTTTTTTTAAGATTTTAACAGAATTTTGACGGGTGTTATTTTTTGAAAATTTCAAAATTCGTTCAAATGGTGGAGGGTATTCAAAGTTCAATCTAGCCTTTTTTTATTTTATTGAATAAAAGCTAAAAATGTCGGAAATAGCATCAAATTTTCGAATACGTTTAGATTTGTTCGAATTGGTCACCTTTGACACGAATTATGGCCTTCAAACGGCCAATGAAACCGTCACACGCTGCCCAAATGTTGCTCTGCGTTATTTTGGCACATTCCCGGCGAAGCGAAGAGGTGATCGACACTTTAGTGTTTTTAAGTGCCAGCCTTGCTTTCCAAAATACTTGGTATCCGGAGATTTTAGTGGCCGTAGTGCGCTGGAACCTCATCAGGAACCTCATTTTGTAACCATTCATGGGTGGTGCGTGCTGAGTCCGGTTGGAATGAACAAGGTCTGCGGCCCAGGAATATCCCAATATCCCAGGTCTGCACGTGCTGCGTCCTGTTGGAATGTCCAAGGTCTGCTACCACAATGTTTACGTGCCCAAGGCTTTAATACACCCTCCAGAATATTTTCACGATAATATTCGGCACTTATTCTGATGCCACGGTCGGTTAATGCGAGTGGAGAGCGACCATCGGCTGTTATGGCGGCCCACACCATCACCATGGCCGGCGCTTGAGTTCTTGTGGCCAACCGAAGGTGCACATTTTCAGCTGATCTCTTGGCAATTAAACACGATCATTATGTTTGTTTACAAACTACTGGACAACGAATGTTTTCTCATCGGAGAAAACCAAATTCGGCAGTTCACCAATTTTGGCCAAGCGAAGCAACTCTGTTGAGTCTATTTTCTTTCTGTTGCGGTGTAAGTTCTTGTACTTTTTGGAATTTCAATGGTTTCACCCCGTGCTCACTTTTCAATATTTGCCGAATGGAGCATTGCGATATGTTCAGATCACGAGCCATTTTTCGGTCACTACGACGCGGGTTTCGATCAAGTCGCATAGTTTTTTTATACTGAGTGCCACCACAGAACCATTTCTGCTAATGTTGCTGTTTTCTTCCGTCCACTTCCTTGACGTCGGGCTACGCTACCAGTATCACGGTAACGAGCGATGGTACGAGACACAAAAGATTTATTCACATTTAAATGCTGGAGTGCTCTAACGACAGCCACTTGCGGTTTTCCTGTCAAATGTAAAGAAATCACACTATCACGCCAGATTCCAGAAAAAAAGTTATTTGTGATGGAATTCAACATCACAAATAACTTTTTTTCTGGAAAATTCTCACCAAAATGCTCTTGTACGCTTGTAAACAATACAATGAGCTGCCACTGGAATAATTTGAACAGGTGTCGGACGAGTGGCTTGGAAATGACAGCAGTCTAAAGTTGGTTGCAGTGTTTTCAACTCACCCTGTATATCATTTGATATGGCCAAAACGAAATAACGATTATATGTCCTAGATCTGTGGACAAAATCCGCCTATCTCTGTAGCTATCTAGTGCCTACGATATCTATCGAAGGGAGAATCGAATCTGTTCCAAACTTGATAAATCGTAATATTATTATCAAACGAATTCGGAGCTGGACAATATTGGTCCACTTCTTCTGGTACCTCTATATAAATATAGTACCATTCAGTACTTTTCGAACAATTATAGTGCGCATTTCCAAAACCACCTCTATATCTCAATTCCAGATACCAACAGAGACCTCAATATTAAATTTCAGGATTTCAGCTCTACTCCTTCACCCAATACCCAATTTGTACTTTTTGCACAACTATAGTACCGTATTACCGTACATATTTCCGAAATCACCGTCATGCGTCCAGACTACATATGGACACCGATTTCAAGCACTATTTAGTACTTCTCTTTCACTTGTATTACACATTTCCAAAACTACCTTTTTATCACAGACATATAGCAGAATATCTCGATTTTTTCGGTATTTTTCTTCATATATTATTTAGGTGAATTTATTGACAAAAATTTCAAAATGTTAAAAATCTTGTCTTAACCAGCTGATATATGATCTCAAATTTCATAGAAACAGTTTCCTCATATTTTGATCTCGACCTCTCTCTCTCTCTCTCTCTCTCTCTCTCTCTCTCTCTCTCTCTCTCTCTCTCTCTCTTTACAGACATTTCCTTCTATTTTATCTTCGCATCGATGGTTATCATCTATTTGCCATGTTACAACTACATATCGCTGCGAGTTGGAGCAAACGGCTGCCGACCGGCTCGCATTGCTCTGGGCAATGCTATGTATTTTGCTGGTTTGACATCGGGCTTTGCCATTTTCGATGAGCTACAACCAAAGGTGGCTGGTTGGGCAGTATTCGCAATAAGTTTGACCTTTGTCATTGGCATCATTGTCAACGAGAGTCTGCATCAGTGCCGCTGCCAAGACTACAAAAGTTCCTGTGATTTGGTTTTCAATCTGCTGAATGAGGAGAAGCTGGTGTTTGCCGAGAGGAAATCGATAACTGCCCTGTTTGTGGGTCGCGATGATTATTGTTTCAAACGGAACATACAATGGTTGGTGGTGGGTCTGGCGGCCATTATTGTTGCGGAGCGTTGCTTCTTTTTCTCCTGGTCCTATTTGGAGTTGATGCAAAGTGCCACCAGGGGCTATACGCGGGGCAGTGAGCTGCTCTATTTACCCTATCTCCTGTATGCAGGGGGTTGCTGCCTGGGTTCCCTGCTTATGCTGCGCTATAAACCCAAACTGATATATCTAATGTTTGGCCTCATAAAAATTACCATTTCAGCGGCCATACTTGGTGTCTACTCAGATGGCCATACCGAAGATTGTTTTCTCTTTTTATGTTTCTATTATCTCAGCCTGGGAGTTTACTCCAGCATTGGCCTGCAGATGTTGGTGGAGGCGACACCATTTCTTTATACTGAATTGGCTCTGGGTGTTGCTTTCTGCATGGAAATCGGCCTAATGGAGTTGCTGAAATTTGAGGCCCTCAACGAAGACTATTGGTCCAGAATGTGGATAATGACGACAGTAACAATTTGCCTGACGGCAATTTGTATTCCACTGATCCAAATGTATTTACCCAAGTCCCTGGGTCTAATTGAAATACGTAACCGGTTATTGGGTATCCAAAGACAGCCAGTGAAATCCTATGAAAATCGCCTGTGGAAAAATAATTTCTATTTGCAAATGGAAATACCCACAAATGCGGTGAGTTTTGCATTGGAAAAGAATCGAGTCTTCCATCAGTACCCGGGACCTGAAGAGACCAAAACGAAATTTTAATAAAAAAAAATGATTGATTTATTGTGATAGAATTCGATTTTTGTGGTGTGCTATATTTTTAACACATACATATACATATTTTAATAAATATACTATTTCGATTTATTTGATAAATAAAAAAAAATAATTGGAAAAAAATTTAAAAGTGGAATCAAAGGAACGATGGTGAATTTTGGATAATTATTAAGTCTATAAAAATTAATTTTTAAAGGACGTATTTTAAGGACCCTTACGATTTGGTATTGGGTGAACAGATAGAACTTGAAAACTGAAATTTGGCATTACAGTCGTTGATCATGTGAAGCCTGTAGATATGGAGTTGGTTTCGGAAATGTGTACTATAATTGTACGAAAAGTACTAATATCAGTATTAAATTTGGTATTGGGTGATGGAATCGAACTGGAATTCAGAAATTTGATATTGTGGTCTCTATTGCTATGTGGGATTGAGATATAAAGGTTGTTTTAGAAATATGTACTAGAATTGTACGGGAAGTACTAAATAGTACTTATTTTGGTATTGGGCGAAGGAATAAAGCTAAAATCTCAAATTTGGAATAAGGGTATCTGATAATGTGTAGGATTGATGGACCAAAGGTTTTATGCAAATTCGAACACTAAGAGCAAATGCACTAAAATGCACAAAATTTTAATAAAAGTCGGAAATTTGCTATGAAAATCAAGTTTAGGAAGTTAGGGTTAATGGGGATTGAGGAGGTGGTTTTGGAAATGTGTATTAAGTGTAAGAACTGTACTAAATGGTACACAATTGAAGTCCCGAATCTGATCATCTAAACAAAATGTGTTCCCATGCAAATCCCAAAATCAATGCTCTAATCGATCAGTTAATAACATTATTGTACCAGTTGGTACCTTTGAGTACTTTTCGTGCCTTTGAAGTGTGAAACTTTGAAATTCCTGCTACATCTTTACGGAAAGAAATAGCCTCATGTGAAATTTCAAAGTTCTTGCTTCTACTCATCTCTCACCATTCAGTACTTTTTACATACTTAAAATAGGGTTTAAAAAGTCCCACCGAATCCCAATACTCGTTCAAATACCAAAGATAAAGTTTTTTTGTCGATCGCTCAATAACAGTTTTATACTATTCTAGTTCTAACTCTTAGCGATCGCTTAGTACCAATAATGTACCGTTTTGTACATTTTAGTACCAAGATGACCCCCAATGAAAAAAATACAAGCTCTAGCTCTTACCAATGGCTGAATAACATTGTTGTACATTTTAGTACCCTTAGTACGGATTTCGAAAAAATTGACTTTACTTAACTCCCTGTGTCAAAAGTGACCCAAAATATCCAGTTCCTAGCTCAAGTGTTACTCTCGTGTAAAATTTTACATTTCCTTTATAACTTTTAAGTACGAATTTATTCCCATTCTTTCGATCTTTTCCACTTCTCAACAAGAGCGAGTGCTATTCGTGCCCATAAAGGTCAGATTTAAAAAAAAAGCACTCTTTCCTCACACTCAATACCAAAAGTGATCCTCATCCAACGTTTCGCAATTCTAGCTCTTACCAATCGTCCAATTGCAATGGATTAAACATTTCGTACTTTTAGTTATTTCCGTACCCCTGAAGTAAGATTTATCGAAAATCCCGCAGTATATCACCCATTTGGGCAAGTAGTTACTCAAATACCAAATTGCAAAATCCTAACTCATACCCAATCGATTTATAACAATTTTCTACAAGGTCGTACCTTTTTTACTTTCTTAGTAAGATTTATCACAGTCTCAACCGCACACACCATTTAAGAGCCTCATGACATATTTCATGATTATGGTCCTTTTCACCAGAGCATTGACCTATCATCGTTGAGTCAATCAGTCCACTCTTTCATTATATATTGTTATTTTTTACTTAGCCGGTCCACCCCATTATTTTTGCCATGTGCGATAGAGAGGGGAGAAAAACGTAATCCGTTTAATATCTTATCATTTATCTTCTTTATTAAGCCATTTGTTTTGATTCTCATTATTCTTGTTTTATGATATAGATTTCTCAAAGAGAAGGAGTGAAATAGAGACAAAGAGCCAACTGCGCAGGTACAAATATTAAAATATGGAGGTTGTTACTGTGCAAATGTGGCACAGTGGGGTATCAAAATCCTGTGCGGAATACAAATATTGAAAAAAAATAAGAAAACATTATTTAGAAATTTAAAAACCCAAATAAAGACAGTTAAGAGCTATTTGAAAAATGTTATCACCAGGAAATTAACACAAAGCTACAATGACTTGATTGTCCTTTGCAGAACCTAAAATTTGACCCCAGTTGCTTTTTCAACATTCACATAAATTCATATTCCTTCCTTAAAATCATCTTTAAAGTTTGCATCTATAGAAAACTTTTGCATAAATTCCTTTACAGCGAAATCCCCTCCACGTCTTCCCTACAATATGTTTGCACCCAAAACAACAAAAAAGATTTATGAATGAAATGTCCTTTGTATAACCGCTAATCTTTATTACTTCCACACATTTTTCTTCTCATCCCAATGGATCTCAGCCTCCGCACATATGGCCACAACCAGGAAATAAATCAAAACAAATCCTTTCAAGAGTACTTTACCATACGATGAGTGCGCATGTTTCCTCTCTTGAAATGTAATGAGAGAGAGAGAAAACGAGATATAAAGGATGCAGTGTAATCAAAAACATCCGTTACTCAAGTGGTGGTAGTGTTACTTTGAATTGTTATCCTAAAATTATTTATACACCCAAAAAAAATAAGGATTAGATGAAATAAAATAAATTTCGAAAAATTGCAAAAATGTCAATTATGGACTTTACGACTTTCAAGGACCATTAGAGCTACAATTTTGGATTTTTTGGAATTTTTTAAAGTGTGATCAGGCCAAAAAGTTTGTAACACCGCGAAATATTGGTCCGAGGCCCATAGTCGAGCTTAGTCGATGTAGCTAAGTGAGTCCGTCCATGTTCATTTGTCCATTTTAATTTATAGTCACATTACTAAGCAATTACGGTCCAATCCTCACGAAACCTAGCATAGAGTTGGAGTTAGAGTGGGAATAGAAGCCTATTGTTTTTGGAGATGATAACAAAGTAAAATGGTGGAAATGGACCAAAAACAGACAGTTTTTCTACATTGCATTTGCTCTACAGGTCAATAGGACCAAACAACCCCGAATTTTGCCGTGGCCAAACTTTAATACAGGACAGAAGTCTACAAATTCGGATGGTCATGAAATTTTTGTAGATTTTATATTTTTTCACCCTGTAACACTATATATACATTACATACAGCTCCAATTATCGTCCGATTCTCACGAATTTTTTCAACGGGGGGTTCGGTTAAGGCCGGAATACAACCATTTTTTAAAAATTCATAGATTTTAGAAAATATACTTGAGGGTAAAAAAAAAGAAGGGAAAATCAGTGCAACTACACTATAGGTCACAATTAAAACCCAATCGACACTGAATTTCGCATGAGGTTAGAGTTAAGGACAGGGCAAATGCGTAGCATTTTGGGTGGCCATCGGATAATATTCTTTTGAATTCTTATCAGCAAACAGAAGGAGTAAACATGCTAATGCCACCGATCAAAATACAAAGGTAAAATTTTTGCAGGACTATATGACATTATTTAAAAAAATCTACCGAAATGGGTTTGGACCTAATGTGGTCTTCCAATATATTTCAGTGTTTTTTTGGGGTACCACAAAGTTGGCGCCGCATGACTGTAGCCTTTGCTTACTTGTTGATAATTGGGGAAAATATAATGGGCGCGGAGTACTGCATAATCTTTGAAGGAGCTATAATCATGGGCTTTAAAAAAATCAAATGTCATCTGAGCCATAAACGTGGAACATTTAATGAATACATCCCAAAGGACAATAAAATCTAAAATCGTCAACTTTTACAAGATTTTTTTATGGATTGTCAGAGCTGAAATGGCGTTTTTTTTCATGTTTATCGGACATATAATCGATGTATTTTAGACTATTTTCTAGGATTATCAGACCTGAAATCGTGATTTTTGTTAATATTTTGAGCATTATCAGTACTGTAATCGTGGATTTTTCATGGACCGTCAGAGATTTAGCAGTCATTATTCTAACCCCAGTCATATAGAGGTATATATCACATGATTCTACGAAAACGTGCCTGATCGAAACAATGGTCTTAGACACAAGGTCTTTATGAACCAAATCCATTTCAGAACATTCGTCCGCCTTTCCGTCTATTTGGCTGGACGATTTGGGGCAAACTTTCTACATGGTTATATTATTATCAAATTTAGATCGAATTCGGAGATCGGCAATATCGGTCCACTCCTTCTACTGGCTAATACCTTCTGGATCTACACCCCTCAAAATTTTTAAATTTTACCTCATAGAACAAGAAATAACTTACTTTATATCCGATTTTGTGGAAATTAATTTTAATATTTTTATCAGTGCTAGGTCAAGTGCCAAAATTAAGTATCTCTACCACAAAGGGTCAACATTTTGAATAATTAAAAATCTGACAAAATGTGAACTGTCTCCAAATTACACGCATCCCAATATTTCTGCCAACACAAGATCTGGTGAGAAGGTCCACCCACCACGGTCCACCCCTTCTGGTACCTACCCCACAAAAGGGATTCAATTTTGAATAGCCAAAATGCTCATAAAATACGAAATAAATATCCGATTTCCAAGGGGTTTTTGGAAATTCGAACTTTAAGGTTACAAAAAGTTCAAAAATGGCACTTAACTTCTAAAATGGTATTTTGTGAATTGATAGAGCTAAAAAAACTTGAAATTCGGTATGAAAATCAAGGTTGGAAAGTAAGTGAAAATTTAGGAAGGTGGTGTTGGAAATGTGTACCAAGTGTGCGATCTTTACTAAATGGTACTAAATTTCAAGGATTTTGGTTTAGGGTGAACGGATGAAGCTGGAATTTAAAAGATTTGGTAGTGTGGTATCTGTTGGTGATAGGTTTGTGATGAAGAGATGGTTTTGAATATGTGTACTACAAGTACTACAAAAGTACTATATAGTACTATATTTGGTACATGGTCGCTGTTCATGTGTAGCCCTAACTTTAAGAGGTGGTTTCGGAAATGTGTAGTATATTTGTACGAACAGTACTAAAGGGTACTATATCTTGTATGGGGTGAAGGGATTTTGTACGAAAATTACCAAATGGTACTAAATTTGGTATTGGGTAAAGGGATAGAGCTGGAATCATCAAACTTGATATTGGGGCATTTCTTGGCATCTGGGATTGAGATATGGAGGTGCTTTTGGAAATGTGTGCTATAATTGTACGAAAATGACTAAATAGTACTTATTCTGGTATTGGTTGATATGGTCGATATTTACATTATTGATGGTATCTATGTTTAAGATTTGTCGGTAGATCCGGAAATGCGTCATATATTTGTACGAAAAGAACTTAATTTTGTATTAGGTTAAAGGATAGGGCTTGAGTTCTCAAATTTGGACATCTGGAATAGAGATACGAAGGTGGTTTTGAGAATGTGTATTACAATTGTACGAAAATCCCTAAAAATTATGTGAAGGGATAGAAATAAAATTCTGAAATTTCATATTTTGTATCAAAAATATTAAATTTGGTATTGGGTAAAGAGTTAGAACTGGAATCCCGAAATATAATGTTGAGGTTTCTCTTGTTATCTGGAATTGAGAGAAAATATCTTTTTAAAAATTTTCGGGTACACAAATGTATAGTTTTTAAAAACATTTTTACAAGGGACACTCCGACCTTCAAGTGTAAATATTTCAAAAATATTCGACTGACATTTTTCTCTGAGCTTAAATGTGCAGCAAACCATTACTGATGGCTGGTACTATGCACGCTGTCTTTGCCGCACCACCTAACACAACAACATGCCGCCATATTAAAGCGGCGGGAAATATTTGCCTAACGGCATTTGTTGCCATTTCCCGTCTTTTATCCGTGACTCCGTTTTCCGTCGTTTCAACATTTCTTTGTAACCGGTTTAAGGGAATATGTTTGCGTTTTGTTACGAAAACACACAATGGCAAAGGATAACAAGAAAAACGAGCGTGTGAGCCAGCGAACGAATAACACAACCGCCAGGCAACCAACGACACACGACCCGACCTGATGTGCTTTTTTGTTCTTGCACTGCTGCTGTTATTCTTCTTGACTGTGAAACAATGAAAGGACGAAAAAATTAGGGAGTGTTAAGTGTTGAGCAAAGAAAAAGTTTTAAATTAATTAAGTGCAGCAGTGAAAAGTGGAAAAACCAAAGCGAAATGTGTGGTTTTTCCTCGAATCAAGTCGAAGAAGAAAACTCAATCACGAAATGGCATTGTTAATTTCAAAGCGAACAAGAAGCGTGGGTGTGAAAGTTTAAATTTTACATCCGGTTTGTGTCGCTGTGCAGAACAACATCGAATTCCCAACGAAGTGAAAACTAAAAAATAAAAACCTCCAGAGGTTGTGGCAGCAGCAGTCAACATGACCATTAATTGGTTCCATAATCTAAGCAATCGCAGTCTGGTGATTACGATACTGATTTGCATATCCCTGATCTATGTGTCGTACACCTTTAATTCGTGTCTCATCAGCAATTTGGGACGCACCCTTAACAAGGTAAGGAGGGGTGGTGGCAATTTCTTATTTTTGTAACATAACGGGGAATTTGTGTGTCCTTTTCCCCGTAGAACTCCCTGAAACAGTTTTTCATTTCAACCTCGTTATGGTCGGACAACATGGCCATTGTGAATGCCACGAAATTGGCATTGAATAATACCACCAATTTTAATGGAAGCTACTCCGCCTCCAACGACAACAACAACATTTCCAACAAGGACTCTGTTCATCTCCATGGCCACCATAATAAGAACCAAAGGAACTCCTCCAGCACTTCTGCCTCGGCACCTCATATTTTAGATGGTTCCCCAAAATATCGCCTATTACGCCAACAGGGTTCCCGACCATCTCGCCACCTGCCCGACACCCTAATTATTGGAGTGAAAAAGTCTGGGACCCGTGCCCTTTTGGAATTTATACGACTGCATCCAGATGTGCGAGCAGCAGGCTGTGAGGTGCATTTCTTTGATCGCCACTATCAAAAAGGGTTACACTGGTATCGCCATCACATGCCCTACACCATTGAGGGGCAAATAACCATGGAGAAGACCCCGAGTTATTTCGTTACCAAGGAAGTACCACAGAGGGTACATCACATGAATGCCAATACGAAGTAAGTTGAGGATATTTTTTCAAGGATTCACAGGACCACGTAGATTTTTTAAGAACATTTTTCAAAGGACATTCAGACCACAAAACAGGGATTTTTAAAGGATATTTCTTCAAAGGACATTCCGACCACTAATCGTGGATTTTTAAAGAATATTTTCCAAAGGACATTCAGACCACTAATCGTGGATTTTTAATGAATATTTTCCAAAGGACATTCAGACCACTAATCGTGGATTTTTAAAGAATATTTTTCAAAGGACATTCAGACCACTAATCGTGGATTTTTAAAGAATATTTTTCAAAGGATATACAGACCACTAATCGTGGATTTCTAAAGAATATTTTTCAAAGGACATTAAGGTTACTAATCGTGGATTTTTAAAGAATATTTTTCAAAGGACATTCAGACCACAAAACATGGATTTTTAAAGGATTTCTCTTCAAAGGACATTCAGACCACAAAACGTGGATTTTTAAAGAAGGACATAAATATGGACTTATAAGGACATAAGACTGGATTTTTAAAGAATATTTTTCAAAGGACATTCAGACCACCTAACTTGGATTTTTAACGAATATTTTCCAAAGGACATTCAGACCACTAATCGTGGATTTTTAAAGAATATTTTTCAAAGGACATTCAGACCACTAATCGTGGATTTTTAAAGAATATTTTTCAAAGGATATTCAGACCACTAATCGTGGATTTTTAAAGAATATTTTTCAAAGGACATTCAGATCACTAATCGTGGATTTTTAAAGAATATTTTTCAAAGGACATTCAGACCACAAAACATGGATTTTTAAAGAATATTTTTCAAAGGACATTCAGACCACAAAACATGGATTTTTAAAGGATTTCTCTTCAAAGGACATTCAGACCACAAAACGTGGATTTTTAAAGAAGGACATAAATATGGACTTATAAGGACATAAGATTGGATTTTTAAAGAATATTTTTCAAAGGACATTCAGACCACTTAACGTGGATTTTTTAAAGTATATTTTCCAAAGGACATTCAGACAACTAAATGTGGATTTTTAAAGAATATTTTCCAAAGGACATTCAGACCATTAATCGTGGATTTTTAAAGAATATTTTCCAAAGGACATTCAGACCACTAAATGTGAATTTTTAAAGAATATTTTCCAAAGGACATTCAGACCACTAACCGTGGATTTTTAAAGAATATTTTCCAAAGGACATTCAGACCACAAAACGTGGATTTTTAAGGAATATTTTTCAAAGGACATTCAGACCACAAATCTTGAATTTTTAAAAAATACTTTTCAAAGGACATTTAGTCCACTAAATGTGGATTTTTATAGAATGATTCTCAAAGACATTCAGACCACAAAACGTGGATTTTTAAAGAAGGACATAAATGTGGACTTTTAAGGAAATAATACTGGATTTTAAAGATTATTTTTCAAAGGACATTCAGACCACTAAACGCGGTTTTATAAAGGAGGAAGGACATAGGACTGGATTTTTGAAGAATATTTTTCAAAGGAAATTCAGACCACTTAACTTGGATATTTAAAGAATATTTTCCAAAGAACATTCAGACCACTAAACGTGGATTTTAAAAGCATATTTTCCGAAGGACATTCAGACCACTAAAAGTGGATTTTAATAGAATAGTTTTCAAAGGACATTCAGACCACAAAACATGGATTTTTAAAGAATATTTTTCAAAGGACATTCAGACCACAAAACGAGGATTTTTATAGAATAGTTCTCAAAGATTTTTAAAAGGAATTTTTTTGAAGAACTTCGTCCTTAAATAAATATTTTTTATTTTATGGAAAAAATATTTTTGCAAGGACTTTTAAGGATTCAAACGTGGATTTTATAAAAAAATATTTTTTCAAGGACTTTTAAGGGATTTTAAATATATTTTCTCAAGGACTTTAAGGGATCTTATAAATATTTTCTTAAGGACTTTTAAGGATGCAAACGTGGATTTATAAAAAAAAATTTTCAAGGACTTTTAAGGTTATAAACGTGGATTTATAAAAAAATATTTTTTCAAGGACTTTTAAGAACGCAAATGTAGATTTATAAAAAATATTTTTTCAAGGACTTTTAAAGTTATAATCGTGGATTTATAAAAAATAGTTTTTCAAGGACTTTTAAAGTTATAAACGTGGATTTATAAAAAATAGTTTTTCAATGACTTTTAAGGATGCAAACGTGGATTTATAAAAAATAGTTTTTCAATGACTTTTAAGGATGCAAACGTGGATTTATAAAAAATAGTTTTTCAATGACTTTTAAGGATGCAAACGTGGATTTATAAAAAATAGTTTTTCAATGACTTTTAAGGATGCAAACGTGGATTTATAAAAAATAGTTTTTCAATGACTTTTAAGGATGCAAACATGGATTTATAAAAAAAAAATTTCAAGGACTTTTAAGGATGCAAACATGGATTTATAAAAAAAAAATTTTCAAGGACTTTTAAGGATGCAAACATGGATTTATAAAAAAAAAATTTTTCAAGGACTTTAAAGGTTATAAACGTGGATTTTATAAAAAAATATTTTTTCAAGGACTTTTAAGGGATTTTAAATATATTTTCTCAAGGACTTTAAGGGATCTTAAAAATATTTTCTTAAGGACTTTTAAGGACGCAAATGTAGATTTATAAAAAATATTTTTTCAAGGACTTTTAAAGTTATAATCGTGGATTTATAAAAAATAGTTTTTCAAGGACTTTTAAAGTTTTAAACGTGGATTTATAAAAAATATTTTCAAGGACTTTTAAAGTTTTAAACGTGGATTTATAAAAAATATTTTCAACGAATTTAAAGATATAAACATGGATTTATAAAAAATATTTTTTCCAACGACTTTTAAGGATATAAACGTGGATTTATAAAAAATATTTTTTCAACGACTTTTAAGGATATACACGTGGATTTATAAAAAATATTTTTTTCAACGACTTTTAAGGATATAAACGTGGATTTTAGGACTTTAAGGGATTTTAAAAATATTTTCTTTAGGACTTTAAGGGATTTTAAAAATATTTTCTTAAGGACTTTTAGGGATTGTCGATGGATTATATATTGTCTTAAGACGATTTGTTTAAGTATTTAACAAATATTTGTGATTTCCCTTCCAGACTTCTGGTTGTTGTTCGTGATCCTGTTACCCGAGCCATTTCCGATTACACCCAGGCAGCTAGCAAAAAAGCCGATATGAAACGTTTCGAAGATTTGGCCTTTGTCAATGGTTCCTATGCTGTGGTGGACACCAACTGGGGACCTGTAAAAATTGGAATCTATTCACGATATCTGGAGAAATGGCTACACTACTTCCAGCTGTCCCAGCTACTCTTCATTAGCGGTGAACGTCTCATTATGGATCCAGCCTATGAGATTGGTCGGGTACAGGACTTTTTGGGCCTCAAGCGTGTTGTGACCGAAAAACATTTTTACTTTAATGCCACCAAAGGATTTCCCTGCCTCTTCAAGTCGGAGGCACGCTCAACACCCCATTGTCTGGGTAAGACAAAAGGTCGCAATCATCCTCATATTGAGGCGGCGGCCATTGAAAGACTGCGTGATTTTTATAGGCCATTTAATAATAGATTTTATGAAATGACAGGCATTAATTTTGCCTGGCCATAGAGGGGGGTTCGCAGAGAAGGAAGGGGCGGGTTAATTTTTTCATAGAGAATAGTTTAGTAGAAAGTTGAAATTATGATAATTCAAAATATTCGAAAGACAAGTTAGTGATATTTATAAAAAAAAATTAAAGGTCATTGAATAATCTCAATTATGTAGTTGTAGGTGAAGAAATTATTAATGAAAATTGATGGGGGCGTGGCAAAATGGATGGTGAAGGAGTATATTTTACAAAAACAATTTTAGGGGCCATCAGGGCCATAAACGTGGATTTTTAAAAGAATATGTTTCAAGGACCATCAGGGCTATAAACCTGGATTTTTTAAAGAATATTTTTCAAGCACCATCAAGGCTATAAACTTGGATTTTTTAAAGAATATTTATCAAGGACCATCAGGGCTATAAACGTGGATTTTTTAAAGAATATTTTTGAAGGACCACCAAGGCTATTAACTTGTATTTTTTAAAGAATATTTTTGAAGGACCACCAGGGCTATTAACTTGAATTTGTTAAAGAATATTTTTCAAGGGCTATAAACGTGCATTTTTAAAGAATATATTTCAAGGACTTTCAAAGCTATAAACGTGGATTTTTACAGAATATTTTCCAAAGAACATTTAGTTCACTTTTTAAATAATATTTTTCAAAGGACATTCAGACCACTTAACGTGGATTTTTAAAGAATATTTTCCAAAGGACATGCAGACCCGTAAGCATGGATTTTTAAAGAAAATTTTTAAAAGGACATTCAAACCACAAAACTTGGATTTTTAAAGAATATTTTACAAAGTACATTCAGAACACTAAACGTGAAATTTTAAGGAACATTTTTCAAATGACATTCAAACCACTTAACGTGGATTTTTAAAGAATATTTTACAAATGACATTCAGAACACTAAACGTGGATTTTGAAGGAATATTTTCCAAAGGACATGCAGACCACTAAACGTGGATTTTTAAAGAATATTTTTCAAAGGACATTCAGACCACTTTACGTGGATTTTGAAGAAATACTTTCCAAAGGACATTCAGACTACTTAACGTGGATTTTGAAGAAATATTTTCCAAAGGACATTCAGAGCAAAGAAAATTCAGATCTATAATTTAGGATTAAAGAAAGATTTAATTAATATTTTATCAAAGATTTTCAGAGTTTAAGTCGTACATTTTAATAGAATATTATTTCAGAGCTAAAATTTGAGATTTTTAAATATATTGAGCCTTGAAATCTTGAGTATTAGAAATATTTTATCCGCGATTTCAGAGAATGCTTACCTCCATCGTCCATTTTGCGAATCCTCCTAACCGATTTTATAAAATTTGACTTATACTTGAACTAGAAAATTTCAGAGAAAATATGTTGAAATAGAATACTCACAATCTGGCTTTGTATGAAAAGCTTGTGAATTCGAAACCCAGAAACATAAAAATTATATGAAAAAACTCTAACCAAAAGCATTTAAAATGATATATCCTTTAAAATTTATACAACAAACTGTACTTTATATTAATATTTGATATTACAAAAAAATTATATTATACCAAAAACAAAACAAAAAAACACAACTCATATTGACTAGTATTATAGAAATATTCTAAAACCAAAAAGAAGATACACGAAAAGAAAGACTTTGATATATATAGTATATATTTGAATATTTATAAAATATTTATAACGAAACTCCATATAGATAAAAAAAATCATCAAAATAACCTCTTTGTCCCATTTTCATGTAGCTTAAAATTCCAAAAAAAAACTCAAAACTAAATCAAACTACAAATTATTAAAAACAAACAAATAAAGGTTCCTCTTGCATCTAAATAGGACATTAACTGAAACCACTTGCAATCATTTCTTTCCTAGACTCACCACACACCTCTCTTCTACTCTAATCAAATCTGTTATGAAAAAAAAAACATCACAAAATAGAACACGCACACTACTAAACTAATGAAAAATAAAACCAGAGCTTACAATAGTATACACATATTTTGTAGCAAGTTAATACAGTTACCATTCCAATACACCAAAAAAAATATAAATATTTTGTATTTTATAAAAAATAATATTTATATTAATTTTTTAATTTATTTTTAATCTAATTTAATTATTATCAAGTTTTTCCTATTTTTGTAATTTGTAATTCCACCATGGCTCATCAGGCAAAATTGGTTTGGATAGCTTACTAAAGCCATGCCCAACATAGCATATAGAAGCTATTGTGAATTGAATCCCGATACAAGATTTAAGTAATGGGTAAATCTTAAAATAAATCCAGTTCATTTGTCGACTTTGAATTTCATTTCAGAATCTCAAATTTCATAGATTTATCTAATTTTTAAAGAAAGTGATCTAAAAGGTTATTTGTTCCACATGACGTATACTTTACATAGATTTAATATATTTCAATACTCATACGCCCAGGTGAATGACTGTTTGGAGTTGTTTTGTTGTTGCCCACGAAAACTCGGCGTATAAGTGATATGACATTTATAAAATCACATTTTTAGGAACTGGTGTACTGAACTGTAACATAGATTGAAACAACTCTACCCAGAAGTGCTGAAATTCTGCATGTTATTTTTTTCCATAAGAGGTGTTATTTTGAAGTTGAAAAAATTCCTTTTTTGAGGTGAATGATCGTATAGGGTGAGATAAAACGAAACTGCAACAAAGTCAGAAGCCATAATTTTTACATTTTTTACAATTTATTGAATGAAAGCAAAAATGTCGGAAATAGCATCAAATTTTAGAATAAGTTTAGATTTGTTCGAATTGGTCACCTTTGGCACGAATTATGGCCTTCAAACGGCCAATGAAACATTCACACGCTGCCCGAATGTTACTCGGTATTTTGACCCATTTCCGGGGAAGTGCTTGCTTGAGGGTATCGACGCTTTGGTATTTTTTAGTGCCAACCTTGCTTTCTAAAATACCCCCGACACAATAGTCCAACGGATTGATATCCGGAGATTTTAGTGGCCATTGTGCGCTGGAAATGAAGCGAGGAACCTCATTTTGTAACCATTCTTGGGTGGTGCGTGCTGAGTGCGATGGTGCTGAGTCCTGTTAGAATGTCCAAGGTCTGCGGCCAAAATGTTTGCGTGCCCAAGGCTTTAATACAGACTCCGGCATTTATTCTGGCTGTTATGGCGGCCCACACCATCACCATGGCCGGCGCTTGAGTTCTGGTGGCCAACTGAAGGTGCACATTTTCAGCTGTCCTCTTTGGCAAGTAAACACGATCACTGTATTTGTTTACAAACTGCTGGACAACGAATGTTTTCTCATCGGAGCGTAGAAAACCAAATTCGGCATTTCACCACTTTCGACCAAACGAAGCAACTCTTTAGTTCTTTTGAGACTATTTTCCTTCTGTTGCGGTGTAAGTTCTTGAACTTTAAGGAATTTTAATGACTTTACCCCGAGCTCATTTTTCAATATTTACCGAATGGAATATTGCGATATGTTCAGCTCACGAGTCATTTTTCGGCCACTGCGACGCGGGTTTCGATCAAGTCGCTTCTTTACTTTTCGAACCATTTTTGCAGATGTTGCTGTTTTCTTCCATCCACTTCCTTGGCGTCGGGCTACACGGTAACAATCACATTTAAATGCTGGAGTGCTCTAACGATAGCCACTTGTGGTTTTCCAGCCAAATATAAATAAATTCCACCACGAATAACTTTTTTCTGGAAAATTCTCACCAAAATGCTTTTGTATGCTTGTAAACAATATAATGAGCTGTCACTGGAATAAGTTCAACAGCTTACAGTAGCTTAGAAATGACAACAGTCTGAAGTTGGTTGCAGTTTTTTCATCTCACCCTGTATATCGGCATTATCAATCAATCTTCATTTAATCCGAACCTTTTTGATATTTTAAGTTTTTTTTTTACTGAATACAAATGACGATGTATTCCGAGGTGCAATTCTTCTCCACTAATAAATAATCACTATTTTATAAAAAAGAAACTACAACACAAATGGGACTTAGCCTGTCTGTTTTGAAATAACACAAAATTTTTTTGAATCCAATTCGTTACGTACAATTTTTTGAACTGTTGTAATAATTATTACATAATATTTTTATATATTTGAGTTATTGTAAGTGCACAATTTATATTTTGTATTTTTTCTCTTTTATACAATGAACTGAAAAATTGTTTTGCATATTGCAAAGCTTATAATATACATACATATATTAAATAGTATTTATTACAAGTATAAAAATATAAAATAAAATATAAAATTATTAAAAAAATGTTTGAGTAATTTATACAATATTGATTATTAATAAACTAAAGAATCTTCAAATAAAAATTCGATTCGATTTTTATTAACAAAATTAATATTTTTTTCCTTTTTACATTTATGTCTCTTATGGGTTGTACTGTGACTTCATTTCAGCCATGTTTGTTTTGCACATGTCCATAGCATTGATCAGGATATGGAACAATTCCTTGTAGACATTATTTCATCTATGGTCAGAAAGTATCACAGTGGATTCTCGGCCAAGTGAAACTTACCACTTCTTGTTCACAAAATCTTACCATGGTTTTAACATTTAATTTCAAGCCTTAGCAAAGGTCCACCCAAAAGTTCCCCCTGATAATAATCAAAAAAATACACAAAAAGTTTTTTTTTATTTTGGTTTATAAAAAATCGTTTTCTTTTATTTTTGTCTGTGCCTTCGTTTCGTTTTCATAACAAAAATACAAGGTTATTCTTCTTCATCTTCTTTTCATCTGTTTTTGTTTTCTTTTTTTTTCATTCTTTGTTTTTCTTCTTTTCTTTAGAGAATAGTAGTGTATAAAGAAATGTGTTTGTTTTGTTTTTTCAAATTTTTCTTTCATTGTTATTATTATTATTATTTTTTTATAGCATCTAAAATAATAATAATTATATAATAGTAATAATAGTAATAGGTAGTAGTAGTAGTAATAATAATAAATATACATACATTTATGATTGCTTACTTGAACCAACAATACTTGATGCTGATGAAATGGAGGAGGTGTTTGCTGTGGTAGTGGTGGTGGGAATTGGATGATGATGAGGGTTTGTGGTGATGGTGGTGGAGTTACTACAGTTCTGTTGTATGTTATTGGCATTGGCTGTGTTGGTGGTGGCGGCAATCATGGAATATTTCCCGGCATGATTGCCGCCATCACAACTGTCCAAGGCGGTCGATGTTGTGAATGGCGCCTGCGGTGCCTTTGATGTAATGGATGATGATGTTGTGGAGCAGGATGAAAATGAGGCAGTCGATGCAGTGGTGGTACTATTGCAAGCTTGTTGCATTAACACTGCTTCCGATTTGGAAGATTGCAAACGTTTTTCACAGTACAGCGTGCCAATTGGCTGGGCCAGAGAGGCGGCTAAGCTTTTGGTTATTAAATATGTATGATTGGCTGTGGCTGAAGAGGTGCTGGTGGTGTTTGGGGGTACAGAGGAGGTAGGAGGATGGTTTGAACTTGGTGTTGTGGCAGTGGTGGTGGTGTTGTTGTTTTGGAACTGTAAAGTGGTTGAGGTTGGATAGTTGTGGCTAGTGGGTGAGGTGGTCACACCCGCCGTATAGGAAAATCTTGAAACCGGCAAGCGATAGTTCGCAGAAGCGTCGGAGCCCAACGAGTGTTGCCGCAACAACGATGTGGTGCCATTGGTTGTTGTGACGGCTCCAGCTTTGGAAGGTGATGTCAGTGACGTAGGGGAGCAGATGGCAGTTGTGGCAGAAATGGGTGTCGTTGCCGCCTTCTCGTTACCACTCGTTTTGGAAGTATTGCAGCTTTGCAACTGTTTGGTTCTATCGGTTATGGGGAACTTATTCTTTGTACAGCTCAAGTCCAGTTCTAAGGTATAAAAACGTCCTCTGCGATATTTGGTATTTTCATTTTCTATGGGTTTTGTGGTCAGGGGTGGTGATGTAAGGGGTGTGGAATTCAGGCGATTGCTATTCATTGGTTGATGTGAAATGGTACAAATGCTACTGCGATTACTGGTAGAGGTTTGATCACTACAATTACTACTACTAATGGGGGTGCTGGCACTACCGCCGCCACCACCACTACCACCAACTACACTGTTTGCAGCCCCACCACAACCGCTGCCGGCGCTTAACTGCAATGAATTTTGAGTGGAATAGGTGGCAGAGGAATTGGCATTGGCGCCAGAGGGACCACCACCACCACCCATGGTTTGCATTGAATTGGAAGAGGCGGGATTTACACTGTAAATGGTCGATGATGATGTGACCGAGGGAGGCACACCATCGATTTCATCACAATTTTGTTGCTGTTTATAATGGGAACGACGATAACTGATATCATCTTCGGTCTCGACGTCATCATCATCATCGTCTTCGTCGTCATCATCATCATCCTCATCGGATGTTATTCTAAGTTCGGTATTGTATTCGGTTAGGATGGCGGGGCGGTGAGGTGGCGGTGCTGCAGGTGGCGGAGCTTTGGTAAAATTTTTACAATTTTGTTTTAAATTCGATGCTTTTGTTGCAGATGTTGTTGTTGTCGTCGCGCTGGATATCGCCGGGGCATTTTTCATTCGCGGTGATGGATCCAATAGGAGATTTTCACAACTGGCCTCATAGACACTGGCCAAGGGTTGAGACTTTAAATGCGGTTTCAACGAGCTGGAGCTATTGTTTGCAGCCCCATTATCATTTTTGGCATCGCCTTCCATGCCACCCCTTCCAGTGGATCTATCTTTACTACGCATGGAAACTTTTTCGCCGGACAGCCTCTCCTTAACATCGACTTTCTTAAACGAATCCTTGTCCTTTTTACTCAATATATCCAAGGGTTCATTGTAGAATGAATCAAAATCCAAATCCAAAAAGAGCTCCTGCAAAAACCTTCGTGCATTCATGCGATACGAGCAACGGCCCAGTGTCCGACAAACTTCCGAGTAGAGGCAAATATCTTGAAACGAGGCTGGATGTTTTTGCTTCAGTTCGAGTAGAGCCATTTTCGATTGTTTTGCACTGACGGGATTCGCCAGGCGTTGAACATTATACAGAATATTGGCTGTCAAACGATCGGGCAGGCTATCCTCACTCAATATACTTTCGGGTGAATGGAATTGTAATTCGGAAAGTTGTATTGAGGATGCATTGCTGTACTGCTGCTGTTGTAGAGGAGGTTTCGATGTGGCAGCACCATTGCCAGTTGTTTTATTGTCCACATTGGTTGAGGAACTTGTGCCTCCGCCGCCTGTTCCTCCACCCTTACGTGATAGAGCCACAGTGGCCTGGATGCCAGCTGCCACAAGAGCCGCCGAGGCATTTGTATACATTTCACACAGGGTTGATGTTGAGACATCTCCCGAGCCATCAAGTCTTTGAGAACGTTTCCTTTGCCTCGAACAATACAGGCAATTGCTGCGGCCATGTTTGGCACCCACCCATTTAGATCGTTTGCTCACCGACGAAACATCAGAGAGTGATGATATAATCGATGATTCATCACCTCCCTCATTGTTCAGGGAATCGTTTAGGAATTGCTGTTTTGCTGTCAGCAGATTGATGTCCATCAAATCCTGATCTTGTATATCTTGAGAGACATAAGTCCGCAACTGGTTTCGTGTTGGGAATATATCCAAGAGATTTTTTGGTAAAGAAATGCCTAAAAAACCAAGCAAAGAAAATGGATTAGATGAATATTTAAATCTTCAGAGTATTTTCTCGTTTTCAACGTACCAACATAGGAAGGACCTTTGGAATCATTTTGTGATAAAAATTTAGGTGTACTCAGCGTTGGTAAGGGAACTTGCAGTTCTTCTGAATCCAAGTGGCTAAAAATACAAATTCAATTAAAAAAAGGACTTAATAATTTTATTTTCCCGCAAAAATACTCACGCATACATTCTGAGTGATGTCTGGCGATCTAAACTTCGCACTTTGTTCTTACGCGACTCGCCAAACGAAGATTTACGATACCGAAACGATGAATATGACAACAAATCAATGCGATCAACAATATCATACAACTCAGCACCCGATTCAGATAAAACTGGACGACAATGACGTCGCAAGGAACGTACTTGAGCATAACCTTTCATGTCCAATGGACTGATGGCATTATGCGAATAGGAGCCTCCTGCCAAAGAAGTACGGCGCAACAAAGATGACTGACCCAATGGTATTTCCAATAGATTAGACATTGAGGGTATGGGGCTAAGGGGGAATTGTTGCAAATCACTAGAGAAGAAGTAATCAATTAAATTAAAATGTTTCAAAAAGGCAAAGTGAATCCAATGGTTACTTACCCCATTCCCGCTGTTCTTCCTGTCACCGATTCGCAGCTACTAACACCCGATGTATTTGAATCTGTACACGAGTTGTAGCGTGTTCGATGGGAATAATGCATTGCGGGACCGGTCAGCATTGCCCCCGGATGTCCGGCGCCACCACTCAAAAGGCTAATAACATCTGTTGTCTTCGATTCGGACAAAGAACGCTGATGTCGGCCATGTCTTAGATATGATCCCTCGGGCAATGTTTTCGATTTAGCTGATGTGGGCAATACACTACTGCTACTGCCACTTGCTATACTACTAGCTGGGCCACCGCCTACGGCTCCTGTTGCCATCGTCGCCGCTCCACCTATCTGTCGTGAACAAGAAGAAGAGGTCTTCTCTAGTTTAGCTCTCGGTGAACTAAATTTATACGGCTGCGATGTGAGCAGATTATCTAAACTAACCTCTTCACCGGATGTTTTAATACTATCAGTGGTGGTATTGGCATCCTGTGCCTCGGAACTGGCACTGGCCGCACCACCACCAATGGCATCACGATTCGTACTGGTACTACTCAACAGCAGATTCGAATAGCTACCCGTGTAATAGGAACCATCGATTTGATCTTCCATACCCATATAGTTGTACGGTGGTACATCGTCGAAATGATGTCGCAGTGGCGTATAGTTGCCCAGCATCCAGTCTTCAGGTTGATGTACCGGCCATATGGTGTTGCGATCGTGTCGTACACATAGCCAATCTAAAAGAAAAACATATGTTATAGAATATAAAAGTGAGATTCTAGAATCCCCCTCTTGAATCCTCCCTCTCCGGAGAAACTTACTCAGCTTGAAGAGAAGGTTGGCTCCATCATTTGTGCTTCCAATTAGACCCAATACACTGAAGCAAGTTGATCGTATTGAGTAAATATCACACTTTGTAGCCAGTATAACTAGCTTCTCGTAGACCCTAGAGATGAGAAAGCATGGGAAAAGGGTTAATCAATAAAATTTAAAATTAAGAGCATACTTTAAGGCGCATACAAAATTTATTGAATTTAAGTTTTTTTCTTATTGTTCTGTTCTATATGTTATTGATCATCTGCACACATATTGTGAACTGTCTAGAAAGGAGAGGCCCATTAAAGTATATTATTTAAAGTTATCGCAACGCTTCCACACCGCCAATCATGCATTGTCAAGGGAGAGATAACAATTGCCCAATTTGCCAGCTACCGAAATCTTCATTCGTGGAAGCAAAGCTGGGGTAAGTTTCCTCTGAATATTAAAATATTTAAAATTTTCTCAGACTTATACAGTATCTTCGCTCTAGGCTCAATTTACCAATGACCACCCTAATAGGACCTTATATTGAAACATGAACAAGGGGTTTATTGTTGAAACCAAGACTGCTGTATAGGAGTCTACAAGTCACATATGGACAGTTTTGTGCTCTCTGAAAAAAAAAAATTATTTATATTTTCCCAATCTAGTTCTGCCTGTTCAAAGCCACCAAAATATCAATGGTCTGTGGCCTCTAATAGACTGCGGCCTCTTAACCAAATGTTCCCAATTTTTCTGGACAAACTTTTAACGAATTCAAGCTTAATCAGACTGGGGACAACTAGGACGTCTTCTCATTGCATAAGGACTATCCACAGGAGGAAAGGAAGATTTATTCCCTACGTACATTAGGAACGTTCGCAGGGTGGAAACGAGGTCCTTTTCCCATGAAATATCTACTTTTTCATCAATTGAATCGTTTTAAAATTAGCTTCGAAAGCCTCTACATTTGCGAACTCGGGTGGTATCACTTTATCCGTACTAGCTCTCAACCTTAGTAAGATAGAGGTTAGAGTCACGATAGAAGTCATTAGATATAGATTTTTTAAAAAGCATGGAGCCGATATTGAATTTTGCCACCTATGCGACGACGAGGAGGACCCCATAGAGCACTTGTTTGAACTATGCTAAATGGCATTAGACAGACTATAATAGGTGGCTATGGAATTCCGAAAACTATGATTTTTGTCTGTTTCACAGCCGTGGAAGTGGCTCCGGGGAAATAGCCACATGCCCTCTGGCACTATGTGTTGGTAGTAATATCTCGGAATATTGGCCTTGGACCTTTGATCCCGATTTTCCTATCTCTCCGAGCTGAATCGATCTACCTATATCTGTCCGTCCATTCGACTATCGATGTGAATTTGTAATCACTATATGGTGTTAGAGATAGGTTCAGAAGAGAATTTCCGAAATGTTCGCAAATTATTTAGGGAATAAAATGAGTATCTTATTGACGTGAATATCTTCTAGCCAGTTGAAGCGAGTCTCTTCAGGCTAGTTGAAGTGAGTCTATTAATGCTAGCTGAAGTGAGTCTCTTTAGGCTACCTTAAATGACTTTCTTCAGACTAGCTGAAGTGAATCTCTTCAGGCTGGCCTCTTGAGATCAGCTTCAGCTGGAAGGTTTCTTCAGGACCAGATCAAGCTGGCCTATACCGGGCAGCCGAAGCTGATCTATTCCGGCAGGCTGAAGATCATCTATTTCGGACAGCTGAAGCCGGTCTCAAAAGACGAGCTGAAGCAGGGTTGGGCATATTGCACTAAATTTTTAGTGCACTAAGAATTAAATAATTAGTGGTAGTGCAATTTTTAATTCCACTACCACTAAAGGGTTAGTGGTAGTGAAAAATAAATTGCACTACCACTAACCCTTTAGTGTTATTTAAAAAAAATTGCACTACCACTAAATTTTAGTGGTAGTGAAATTTTATTAGCACTACCACTAAATTTAGTGATTTTTCAAATAAAATTTGCACTACCACTAAATTTTAGCGAAGCCAAAAAAAGCACTATGTATATAAGTATTATACCAGCTATAATGAAGTTTATTGAAGTGAGTAGGGAACAACAATCCAGAATATATAGTACATATTCATAAAATTTGATTACTTTTCTAAATAGCACTAATTTAGTGCTATTTTTTATGAAATAGGGTAAGTGTGCCTAAGTTCGGCATGTCCCAGTAGTCGGCACTTTTTATTTTTAAGCCCAAATAAATGAAACTTTTATAACTAAATATATTTTGTTTACTTCAAATATATTGTCAGCTATCTTTGTGTACAATTTCGCTAAGAAAAGATGATTTATTCTAATAAAAATTAAATTTCTGTATGTGAAAGTCCTCAACAATCCATATTCTTAAGAAAAGTACAGTAAAGACGTCGAATCAGTTTAACTAAACAAAAATATTATATTTTTATGAATTAATTTATTATTATCATTAATTATTCTTACAAAAAAATTGGTATGCCGACTGTTGCAACATGCCATACAGACAATTGGCAAGTGGTGCCGACTACTGGCAAAAAAGCATTGTTTTAATAAAACTACAAATTTATGAAATTTAATAAAAGGTTATTAAAACTTTATTTATTATTGCAAAAACTATACAAAATTTCAAATCTGAATAAATTAACTTTGTAATAATTGAAAAGTTCCACTCAGAATGGTGAGCGATTACAAACGCGAAAATCCTAAAAGTGCCGACTACTGGTACACTTACCCTACCACTAATTTAGTGCAAGTTTTTTTTTAAATACCACTAAATTTAGTGGTAGTGCTATTGAAATTTCACTACCACTAAAATTTAGTGGTAGTGCAATTTTTTTTAAATATCACTAAAGGGTTAGTGGTAGTGCAATTTATTTTTCACTACCACTAACCCTTTAGTGGTAGTGGAATTAAAAATTGCACTACCACTAAATGAACAGTGATAGTGAAATTATTAGTGCACTAAAAATACAGTGCATTATGCCCATCTCTGAGCTGAAGCCAGTCTCAGTTGATGAGCTGAAGCCGGTCTCAAAAGACGACATGGTGCTAGAAGCAGTATAGATGAACTGAAGCTGGTCTTTATATAAAGTAACTGAAGCTGGTCTCTATAAAGACGAGCTGAAGTTGATCTTTATATAGACGAGATGATGCTGCTCTCTATAAAGACGATATGAATCTGCCATCGCTTCACATAGATCACAAAATATAAAACAACTTTTTACTCCAATTCCAAAACTCACCTCGTTCCCGTTTCCAAAAAATACTCAATGCCATTCGAGTGCGTCGATGCATGACCAATCGCCCATATTGCCGATTTCAATTCCAAACATTCCGCTTCGTCGGAACACTTTCCGCTGCTTATAACCTCTAATAGCTGTGGCAAATCGCCGAATTTTCGTAAGGCTGTTGTTCCCTGTGTTGTTTGAACCATTTGCCCATACAAATGGGCCGGTATATTTGGTGGTATGATAATGGGTCGGGTATTGCAATTGCGGCGGCTATAGCCGCCCTCTTCATTGCGCACATGTAGCGTTAGACTGGCATGGGTATCAGCCTCGACAAGCAGAACATATCTGTTAAGGAGAAAAAATATAAAAAAATATAAATTATTAATGTATTCCCTAACAAAGACAAAGTCAAACAAAAAGTCTATCAATTCCCCCAAAAAATGGAGGAGAATAATTTAATGACTTTTTGTTGGACTTTTGCTATTGGGATTTCACGCTCGCCTCTTATTGTAGCCATTTTTCCAATATTCAATTTCTTCTTTGACTTTTGCTTTGGGTTGGTTAAGACCTCGTGACAGGGAATAGTAGCGGGCCATTAGCAGGCGTCCCACATCACCGAGGGTTTTAAGATTTGGCCATAGACTAACAATTTCTTCCAAATAATACTGCAAACAAAAAATGAGAAGGGTTATTTTCAAACACAAACTACGGAACTTTTCAAGTAAATACCTTTTCGTGACAAGCCTCTTCTAGGACATCCATTGCCGCCAAAACTACACTGCGATCCGGGTCCTTGGTTTGTTGTATAATTAAAGGTATACCCCATACCTCGAAATTTGGTATGCGAGCTCTCAGCAATACCACAAGAAATTGGGTGGCATATAAACGACTACCGGGCTCCTTGGCTGACGTTAAAGCTTTTTCCAAAACTTTACGGGGCACTGATTCCAGACTGTAATCCAGACCCGATACAATCAGTTTAACATAACACTCGTAATCGGTATTGCGCACAAGGTTGACAAGACTGAAAATGAAAAAAGGAATATCATTACACCAAACTCCATTCCAAAATGTCCCTGCCTTTCACACTTACTGTTCAAATACTGCCGTATTCTTTAATATCGTAATGCCCTTTTGAGCCCGACACATCCGGCCAATAAATAAAAAATACTGTTGACACATTGTAGTCTCCATATGCTTTGGACTGAACAGACAATCGTGGGCACGATTTGGTGTTGTTATGGCCAACAGCTGAGAGGCCACATCGGTAAAGAAATCGGTTAGCAGACGAACACTTTCTAGTGGATAAATTGCCAAAAGCCAATCGATTAAATCCAAGCCCACTTGCACAAATGGTGGCAATGTTTTACCCTGGATCAGCTCTTGATGGGAAAAACAATTCTTACTGGGCTTAAAGAAATCGATGAGATTTTTAAGGAACGTTAAACTTGGCTCTTCCATTTTGCGGATTACATTGGACTGAAAAGAAAGGAAAGGCAAATTTATTATTAATTTGTTAAATGACAATTTTAGGTTCTCCTTTAGAACTATATTTTAGAGATTTTAAGCTCAGAACCAAAAACGTTACGATTTTTCATCCCCAGAAGGGGGTTTAAAAAGTTCCCATCAAAGCCCAGCCATTATTTAAAATGAACATAATGCACGAAATAAGTAGCTATTATTTGCCATTAAATGGCTGAAACGACCCTGCTTTAACTAGCTAAAGAGTCTTTATGGAGTCTCTATAGGCCAGCTGAAATGAGTCTCCATGGGTGAGCCTATGGAACTAGCTGTAGCGAGTCTCTTTACCAGCTCTGGGTAGCTGAAGTGAGTCTCTTCAGGCCAGTTGAACCTGGTTCCTTCATGCCAGCTGGTGTGAGCCTCTTCAGGCCAGTAGAAGTGAGTTTCTACAGGACGGCTAAAGTCAGATGCTCCAGGCCAGCTGAAGTGAGACTCTTCAGTGTACCTGAAATGAGTCTCTTCAGGTCATCTGATGTGAGTCTCTTCAGTGTTGCTAAAATGAGTCTCTTCAGGGCAGCTGAAGTGAGTCTCTTCAGTAAAGCTGAAATGAGTCTCTTTCGACCAACTGAAGAGAATCTCTTCCGGTCAGCTGAAGCGAGTCTCTTCAGGCCAACTTGATGTGAGCCTCTTCAGGCTAGCTGAAGCGAGTCTCTTCAGATTAGCTTAAGTGATTCTCTTCAGGCTAGCCTATTAAGACCAGCTTCAGCTGGAAAGTCTACGCAGGACCAGTTCAAGCTGGGAGATTCCGGGCAGCCGAAGCTGATCTATTCCAGATAGGCGAACCTACACCGACGAGCTGAAGCTGGTTTCTATAAACGAGCAGAAGCTGGTCTCCCTTGACAAGCTGTGGAGCTGGTCTCTACAGAAGATCTAAGGAGCTGGTCTCCCTATAAACGGGTTGTGAGGTTAACCTCCATAACCTCGAGTTAAACCTGGTCTCCATAAACGCGCTGAAGAGCTGGTCTCCCTTGACGAGTTGAAGCTGGTCTCAATAGACGACCTGGAAACTGGTATCCATACAGACGAGTTGCGAGGTTAATCTCCATATACGAGTTGATCTTCCTTGACGAGTTGTAGCTGGTCTCAATTGACGAGCTGAGAAGCTGGTCTCTATAGACGAGCTGAGAAGCTGGTCTCAATTGACGAGCTGAGGAGCTGGTCTCTATAGACGAGCTGAGGAGCTGGTCTCCATAGACGAGCTGAAGAGCAGGTCTCCATAGACGAGCTGAAGAGCTGGTCTCCATAGACGAGCTGAAGAGCTGGTCTCCATAGACGAGCTGAAGAGCTGGTCTCCATAGACGAGCTGAAGAGCTGGTCTCCATAGACGAGCTGAAGAGCTGGTCTTCATATAGACGTGTTGTGACGTTAATCTCCATACAGACGAGCAGTGAGGTTAGTCTCTATGAGCGATCTAAATTGAATCTCTATAGACGAGTTGAATCGATGTTCTAGTCGAGGTCTTATAGACGAGCTAGTCTATAGACCAGCAGATTCGACGCTCTATGGACCAGTTGAATCCAAATCGAGGCTCTATAGACCAGCTGAATCGAGATTCCATAGACCAACTGAATCGAGACTCTATGGACGAACTGTAGCTGGACTCAGTACTTGTTTATTGAATTCTAGTGGCCACAAAAAAAAAAAAAAAAAAAAAAAAAAAAAAAAAACTACATACTTCTTCCACATTGCTCTTGATAAAATAAAACCTTGTAAACCCGATATGCAATGAGTATTTCGGCTGAGTTTTTAGTTTTATGGCATAACCTTGCAAACTTACTCTGATTATAGTTGATATAACTTCCCAATCCCAGCCGGTGCCATCCTTAGAATATAATACATTCGAGTCTTTGATTAAACGATTCAATTTTATATTCTCTAGGAACGGTAAAAATTTAAATTTCGTGCGAAAACTCGCCCGACGCGATGATGATGACTGAGAATTGGAGTCATCGCTGGAAACAGAGTCCAAGCGGGGCCGATCCAAGGTGCCAACACCACCAATGGAACTAAATTGGCCAATGCCCGGGTGAGAGGTGGCGCTGGTATCGGCAGGCGGTGATTGTAGACTGCTGCTAGTATAAGGTATATCCTGAGCATTGATTTCACGGCGAAAAAGTCTTGTGTGTATAAGGGCTGTAAAGGAAATAAAAGAAATTATTAGTGACACATGTAGTGGGGTATTGATCCTTTTCAGGCATTACTCACTTCCTTCTTGTATAATACTATCCAAAAATAAACTACTCGAGGCCGGACGATTCCTCAACATCTTCTGATAACATTCCAGGGCAGATATGGCAGCACACGCATTTATATTACCCTTTGTGGCGTGCGATATTAGAGTCGGCAGCGCCGGACTTGTACTACAGATATCCGGCGGCAAATGGGTGTGCATTAAATGCAATAGCTTGCCAACTAAAACCGTGGCCGCTACCGATACGGGCACCTCACTCGATACGATCACCTCGACCAAGGCATTGAGAAGACCAGTCTCTAGAAAACAGTACAATTGTAAGGCCAAGTGTTGTTCACAGATATTGGGGGCGCGTGCTGCCAAACTGGGCAATATACTGCGACCCTCGGCAGCCACAAAGCCATTCTTTAATAGCCAATTGGCCTGAAAGTCAGACGGATCAACCGCCTGTAAAGCCACAGCATAGTCGTCAGTCTTCCATGTAGGCTGTGGAAGACCCAACAGTTCGTAAAGCAATTCCAATATTGCTTTCTGGAAATGGAAATAGAAATTGAAATGAAAACAAATATAGAAAGTATTTTTAAGGCCTTCTGTCTGAACTTACTCTAACTTCAATTTGATTTAAATATAAAGCATCAACTATTGCTTTTAAACCGGATGGTTTACTTGGATCACAGAATTCAATGGTCCCAGTCCAGCTGCGCAGAACAGATAATAAAGCTAAACGACAACTTGTGTAACGAAGTTCATGAGCATCTCTGGAAAAGGTAAAGAAATCAAAAATGAATAAAAATCATTGTCATAAGGGTCTCTCACTTGGAATATGGACTTACTTGTTCTTATCCATAATCCCCAGACGATATGTAAAATCGCAATAGGGTGCCGCCAAACAATCCAAACGCACTCCCGATATATTACGCGTGTGTGGCCATTCCAGCAGATAGAGTAGGACACCACTTAAACTTTCGGCTATTCGAGGATTGTGACACTCGACAACATTACGGGTTATCGAGGTAACACCACCGCAACATATCAGCAGTGTGGGATTCAAAACGGCAAATTCACACAGTGTGGCCAGACAAACCCTAAGCAATTTATCCTTTTCTTCCAGGCCTGTATCGGCCAAAGAGACCAGACAGCGTACCAGTACCGGACTTATGTTTTCCGGTGATATTGCCAACATTTTGCGTATCTGCAAAGAAATAGAACATTATTTTGGGATATGAAGGATAATGAAAAGGGATTAAGGTGACTTACCAATTTTAAAGCCTGAACACGCTCATCATTATTCTTTAGCATTATGTCAATTGATCGACATAGCAAATGCGGTAATTGCATGGAGTTGAATATTTTGATATCCTTGGTTGTGGTCAACACATAGCGTATGGTACGCAAAGCAGCCGCTCTCACTTGAGTAAATGAACGTATCAGGGAAGCACTTAAACTGAAAGAGAAGAAGAAAACATAATTTACCATTAAATTTTAAATAATACGCCATCTTAAGAGAAGTTGTTAAAGACTTTCGATTGCTAAAAATAATCCAAAACCCGGGTAAGTGGTGGTGCTGGTATTATTAGTTTCAAGCAACATTGTAAGAATTGGATTTCTTTATATCCAGCGAATATCCTTACATACAAAAATGTTAACTACCCCTGTCAATTACCTGTCACAATGGCCCTTACAATTTGTTTGACGAAGCTCGCCATGCTCATTCGCTAGTCTCGCCGCCTCTGTAGGGCCTCTGGAGGACATTTCTTTGGATTTTCTCTTTCTCTCTCTAATTTAAAGTCAATAAACATCTCCAATAATTAGATAAAGTTAGACGTTCAGAGATCGTGGTATGTATTCTTTTATGAGAATATATTGTGCTTAACCGTCAGTAAAGCAGAGACGCCTATCCAAAGACTTCAAAAATCTATATGCAGACTTATTTAAATACCTTTTGGTCGTCTATCATAAGACTAACTTTCCCCGTTCTCCAATGAGAGGACGCTTTAGTCCTTTAGTAGAACAACTTTTGTTCTTCTGAGAAGACCTTTGGGTGTTTAAGGAAAACGTTCTGCTTTTCCTTGACTACCTTCTGCTCTTCCTTGACTACCTTCTACTCTTCCTTAAGGAGACCTACTATTCTTCTTCTTTGGTGAGACTATCAGCTGTTCGTTGAAGAGAACTTCTGCTTTCCAAAGGCAAACCTTCTGTCAGACCAACAACTCTTCTAAGAATAGACTAAATGTCTTCTACCCTCCTACATGAGAAGACTTTCTGCTCTTCTATCAGAAAAACAAAGGCTTCTATGAAAAGACTTTCCCACAATTATATGAAGAGTCTTTTTACTTTAGAAAGACCCTTTGGTCGTCTTTAAGATCAACTTTCTCTGGTCTTCTTTAGAGGAAACCCTCATGGTTTTTTAGGAAAAGACGTTTGGTTCTTTTCAGAAAAAGACTCTGCTTTTCCTTGGGGGACTCCTTCTGTTTTTTTTTTCTTAAGAAACCCCTTTGGCTCTTCTGTGAAACGAAATGTTAATCTTCTACGAGAATACTTTTGGGTATTCCTTAAGAGGATATTCAAGTCTTTTTTGTTGCTCTTCTGTAAAACGAAATGTTAATCTTCAATGAGAAAACCATTGGGTGTTTCTTGAGAGGACATTCAAGAGTTGACTATATGTCTAATATAAGAAGACATTTTAGTTTTTAATGGAAATACTCCTTCTAAATAGAAAATCTTTCGTTTTTCTTTAGGAAAACCTATTGACAATTTCACACTGAATTGCTATCCTAGCCTATGGTATCAACGAGCTGACTCCCTCAACTCCAACATCTGGTGCCATCTTTCCTCAGAGATCTTAGATGTTGACATATGCGGTCGTTCTCAAACGCCAACTGTAAATTTATAACCCTGAACGGCTATATCCGTTAAATAGATCACAACCTACCCGTTAAAATAGCGGTTATAGACCCAAGATCTTTTTGGATTAGATCAGGAAGAAAGTCCGCAATCGGTTCTTTTTTGCAATTTTCGGAATATTTATCGTGGAAAATATTGGATGTTGGCCCTCTTCGAAATCGTTTCGAAATGCATTTTTGCCTACGTCCCTGGACAAAATTCCTTGGAGTCGATCGAGCTGGCTCTCAAGGTGATTATCCGATTAGGTCCAAATTTTACAAACCATATTTTTATACCCTCAGCCATAAGGTTACAGAGGCTCCGATTTGATCCAAACTTGCTGCATCGTAATATTATTGCCAAACTTGGATCGAGTACGGTGATGGGTAATATCGGTCTACTCCTTCCGGTACCTCTCTCAAAACAGGTCAAAATTTTCATAGAAAATAATTTAACATATAGAACAGGAAAGGGTCATCCTATTTTGTCCAAACTTTGCAAATCTTAATATTTGTATCGGTGCTATTCAGGTGCCAAATCCGACAATATTGGCCCTATCCATCAAGTACCTCCCCACAGAGGGCAAAATTTTAAATAATTATAACTCTCATAAAAAGTAGCATCCGATTCTCTTCAAATTTCACCCACCTCAATATTTCTAATAAAACAAGATCTGATGTGAAGATGGTAGATATCGATACACTCTTTCTGGGACCTCCCCCACAGAGGGTTCAACATTTTGAATAATTAAAACGGCAATAAAATGCGAAATTAATATCTGATTCTCTTCAAAAATCGCACATCTCAATATTTCTACTAAAACAAGATCTGATGTGAAAATGGTTGATATCGATCCACTCCTTCTGGTCCCTCCCCTACAAAGGGGTAAAGATTTTGAATAACCACAAAGCTAAAAAAGCGTCCGAATATTTTCGAACTCGGCACATCTCAATATTTTTATCAACACAATGCCTTGTGTGAAGATAGTAGACATCGATCCACTCCTTTTGGTAACTCCACCACAAAGGGGTCAACATTTTGAATAACCACGAAGCTTAATAAGGAAGAAATGAGAATCAAATTTTTTTTTTCAAACTCGGCACATCTTAATATTTCTTATCAACACAAGATCTGGTGTGAATATGGAGTATTTTGAGCCACTGCTTCTGGTACCTCCCCCACAACGGGTTACAATTTGGAATAAAATGCGAAACATGCATCCAATTCTCTATAAATTTCATACATCCCAATTTTTTTTCTGTCAAGATCGTAGATTTCGGGGAAGTACTTCTGGTACCTCCCCCACAAAGGGTCTACATTTTGAATAAGCAAAACTCCCATAAAATTCGAAAAAAAAAAACCTTCGTCTCTTTTCGAATTTCACACATCCCAATATTTGTACTGACAAAAGATTTTCTGTGAAGGTTGGATATATCAGTTCACTCCTTCTGGTAGCTCCGCCTCAAAGGGCTCAAAACACGCTCTTTAAATGGGATGCGCTCTTAAATGGGATTTTATGCAAATTTCACACATGCCAATGTTTTTACTAACGCAAGATCCGGTGTGGCCATAATATATCGGCCCATCCCTTCTGGTACTTCCCCTAAAAAAGAGGTCACAATTTGCAATACTCATATCTCACATAATTTGCGAAACACGTCAGCAATTCTTTACTAATTGGTATATCTAATATTTACTAAAAACTGAAGTTTTATTAAATATTTTTGTCAGGGATTATCTGATTTGATTTGAAATGGGAGCAAAAACCTCCGAAAGACAAAAAATTAGGAGGTGCCGTTATATGTGGAGTATAACTAAGAACCGTTGATCTATATTTTCCATTATTCAACACCAAACGTAATATCAAATCACAATTTCAAAGCTCTTGCTTTAACAGTGCGAGCTCAATCTAGATTTCAAAAAACAAACCGATGGACGAACGGGCTCTCGGACATGGTTAATTTGACGGATAAATTTTCTTTGATCCTAAATTTTTGGGGTCTCTGACGAATATTTCGGGATCTTGTAAATTGAATGCCAAATGTAATTATCACCCTCCATATTTTATGGGACTGTCCCGCTTGGCAACTTATATAAAAATAACATCAATTAGCCTTAAAAATAACAACAAGCCAGACACAACTGTTATGGCTGTCTGGAATTAAATAATTTGTTTTTTGTTCATGTTGTTGTTGTTTTTTACATTTGTTATTGCTGTTTTTTGTGTAAAATGTTTTGGGTGTCTGTTTATTTTAAATTAATATCCAGGTATTGTTGTTGTTGCGGTTGTTATTTTTTTGTTCGAATGCACTTACCAGTAGAGTAACTCTTCCGTGCTAAATCCCAAATTATTTTTGTATATTGATGCCGCCGACGACGAGGTCGCCAATGACGTTGAAGCCATTGCTGTACCACCGGTGGTGGTACCGCCATAATGTGTTGTTGTTGCTGATGTGTTCGTTGATGATGATGATGGTGACGTTGTTGTCTGCTGTTGGTGATGGTGCGGTTGATGGTGTTGTTGGTGCAGTTTTTGTTGTTTCTGCAGCAGCTGCTGTTGTTGCTGGCACAATGTGGCCAATTCATTGAGCAGATCGAGTCGCTTGCTATCGCGTGTCTCACGACAACACAGCGCTGCATAGATATCATAGCAGTTCTCTGCCGCAGATTTTGTTGGATCCAAGCGATAATATTTTTCCGTGTCTTGTGGAACTGCAAAGAGAAAAAAAAAAGAAAACAAAATATACAGATTAAAGAGAATTAACAAATAAATTTGAAAGAAAAGATAAATGATGGAAACAAGTTTTCCAAAAACTGAAGGAAGAAGAAAATAAAGGACAGATTTTTTCTATAGAAAGAAAATACCTCATAACTGAGGGTTGATTTTTTTCTAAAGAAAAAAATGCATCATCAATTGAGGTCTGATTTGTTTCTACAGAAAGAAGTAATGCCTGGGTACCACAGCCTATGTCAAAAAAAAAAAAAAATCGTATGCATGTCCATGTCTTCGTATAGCCCCCATATAGCAGTGACTCCCGATATTCGGTATTTTCATGATTTTAGCGATATTATATATCCGAATTGGTTCAAATTTCGTATTCGAAGTTTGTATTGGGTACTACAGCCTATGACAAAATATTATATACATAAAAGGTCATTATTTAAACGGTATTTTCGGAATTCGTTGGTGAAGGGTATTAAAAGTTTGGCCCGGCTGAACCTAGCTGCTTTTTTACTTGTTTTCTATAGTTACCACTAAGGCATTACTTTTTTGTACCAGTTACCACTGAGGCCTGATTTTTTTCTATAGAAGTTGACCAATTATAAGTTTGACTACTTTCTACTCCTCATATAAGTTATGTGATCATTTTTGGAAAAGGTTAAAACGTGTGTAAAGTACCAGACCAAAGTATTTCACTTCATCTAAAACTGAAAAAGATGGGACATGCAATACTTAAAGAGCATCCAGCAATAGTTTCCCATTTTATGCCAATAATTGCAAATCAAAATTTTAAACTTTTGTGAAGGAGGAACCAGAATGAGTGGTCCGATAAATTCCATATTCGCATGGGATCTCTAGATGGAAAATATTTAGATATATTAAGTTTGAAAGGAATCGCTGCCTCGTTTCGCAAGTTATGAGTGTTATAAATATTAAAAATAGAGACTCTTTGTGGGGTAGGTACCACAAGGCCGATATATCCCATACTTCACGCAGACATTGTGTTAGTAGAAATATTGGGTGAAAAATTTAAACATATAGGGATGATAAGTTCGGTTGGGTTTTACAAAATTTGTATGCTTTGTTGGGGAGGTACCAGAAGAGATGGCTATATATATATCACCTTCACACCAGATTTTGTGTTATCAAAAATGTTGGGATGTGTAGAGTTTGAAAAGAGTCCGAAGCTTATTTCGCATTTTATGATATACACATATGGCCAAAATAATAAGTACATCAGTTTGTTTGTATATGTTCAGGTAAATTAAAATAATGTATTTAATGTAATGCAAAGCAAATTTTTTTATTCCATTCTTACAACATAAAGCCAACTTATTACAATAAGTATTGCAGGAGTTTTCGAGATAAATTAACTTTTTCATGTATTAATAAGAATTGTGGACAAAAAACAGTGGACAAAATAATAAGTACATTCCGTAAAACATAAAATAAAACAAATAAATTCGAAATTTTTAGGTTTAATTTTTATCAGTATTGCTTATAACATTAGTATCCAGTATATCCACCTTTATTTGCTACGACCTTCTGTATTCTTTTTGGCATACTACTTACAAGCTTACGGCAGGTATCAATAGGTATTTCATACCAAGCTTTTTGTACAAAATCCCAAAGTTGGTCTTTATTTTGGAACGATTGTGTACTAATGCGTTTTTTTAAATCTCCCCAAAGGTTTTCTATGGGATTGAGGTCAGGAGACTGGCTAGGCCAGTCTAGGAGTTTTATTTTATTTTGCTGAAACCAATCTTTGACATAGCGGGATGTGTGTTTCGGATCGTTGTCCTGTTGAAACACCCATAGAAGTGGCATATTTTCTTCAGCATATGGTAACATTATAGTCTCCAATATATTTTTGTACTCGAATCTGGTCATTGTATCAGTAATACGATATATTGGACCAACGCCATTCCAAGAAAAGCAGCCCCATACCATTATGCTTCCACCCCCATGTTTGACTGTCTTTTTTGTAAACCGAACATGAAATTCTTTTCCTTTGGGGCGACGAACGTTCCTTCCATTATCATTTCCAAATAAATTTATTTTGGTTTCATCGCTCCATAGGATATTTCGCCATTTTTTTTCATGTACGGATCCGCACCAACCCAAATGTTCTCTTGCGAAAGATAACCTCATCTTCAAATTTTTTTTACGAAGCAGTGGAACCTTTCTGGCTGTTCGTCCTGGCAATTTGGCATCTGCAAGTCTTCTCCGAATAGTTCGAGTGGATATCACATTGCATATGTCCGCAGAAATTTCCCGAGAGGATATAAAGGGATATCTTTTTGCGAGGGTGACAATATGGCAATCCGTTATATGCGATGTCTTTTTTGGCCTACCGCGTGTTTCTTTATTTTTTTTGGGTTTCAACGCATTTTGGACAAAACACACTGATCTATCAAGTGATTTTGCTATGGTTCTTAGGCTTTTTCCCTCTTTCTTCCATTTTGTCACTAGTCTCCTTTCTTCTGGAGAACAGTGCTTATTTCGACCCATCTATCAATAAAATTGTGGTGCAATTTGTTTTAATTTTGATAAGCACAAGTAGTTAAATAACAAACCTTTATTAAAATGCACTCAGCAAGAGGTAAATATTGAAAAATCGAAAATGTACTTATTATTTTGGCCAGCCAAAATACGAACTTTAGCACAAAAATAACACAGAAACAAAAAGTAACGGGATTTTTGCATTTGTTCACTTGTTGATTCAAAGTTGCCATATATATGTTTGGAAATGTGGCAAAGTTGCCATATTTTACTTAAAAAACTTAACGTACGTTGCGACGATGAACATAAAACACGGTGTACTTATTATTTTGGCCATATGTGTATATAATTATTCAAAATTTTAACCCGTCTTAGGGGAGGTACCAAAAGGAACCGTCCGACATGTCCCATAGTCACACTTGATCTTATGTTTATAGAAATATGTGAGAAGTTTGAAAATATTTCGAATTTTATGAGCCTCATGGATACTTTTGTGGAGAAATGTGGACCCCTTTGTGGGAGAAATACGAAAAGCGGATGACCAATATATATCGTCTTCATAGCAGATCTCGTATTAGTAAAAATATTGAAATGTGTGGAATTTGAAGAGAATCAAAAGATTATTTCGCGTTTTATTAGCGTTTTGTTATTCAGAAATTGTGGGGGAAGTTCCAGAAGGACTTGGCCGATATACCAGGTACCAGGAGTCGTCCGACATATTCCATCTTCATACCTGATCTTGTGATGATAAAATATTGAGATGTACCAATTTTGAAAACAATCGGATGCTCATTTCGCGTTTAAGAGCCTAATGGATGTAGTGGTGTGGGGAAATGTTGGACCCTTTGTGGGGAATGTACCAAAAGAGGTGGATCCGTATCCACCATTTTCACATCAGAACTTGTGTTAACAAAAATATTGGGATATGTGAAATGTGAAGAGAATGTGAAGAGATGTAAATATTCAAAATTTTGACCACTTGTGGGAGAGGTGCCAGAAGGAGTGGTCCTATATATTATATCTTCACAGCTGATATTGTTCTGATAGAAATATTGGGACCTGCTGACTTTGCAAGGAACCGGATACTCATTCCGCCTTTTAAGAGCTTCATGGTTATTTAAAATGTTGACCCTTTATGGGGGAAGTACCAGAATTAGTGGTCTGATTTATCCCATCTTTATACCAGATATAGTTGTTAGAAATATTGGAAAACAGCTGGACTCTTTTTCCCCATTTTATAAGAGTTATGATTATTTCACATTTTTGACTCTTTGTGGGGTAAGCACTTGATGGAATGAGTCTATATCGTCTATTTTCGAAACTCACCTAGCATTGACAAGATATTAGGATTTACAAGGTTTGCGCAAAATCGTAAATCATTTTCTTCAAAAATTGTGACTTTTTGTGTTGGAGGTACCGGAAGGAGTGTTTGACACTAGTATAACGCTCCTTTTGGTACCTCCTCCACAAAAGTGTAAAATTTTGGTTAGCAATTATTTACATAAAATGGGGAATTATTGCATGTCTCATCTTTTTCAGTTATAGATGAAGTGAAATACTTTGGTCTGGTACTTTACACACATTTTAACCTTTTCCAAAAATGATCACATAACTTAACACTAGTATAACGATGTACTATGTATCGTGCACACCAGCCAGACGGACACCTCTAGATCGACTCCAAATGTCCTGAAAAAGACTCGATCCCAAGAGACCGTTATTTCCATAAGGCATGTTTTGGCATGTTTTGATTTGTGTTCTCTAGGGGTATAAAAATACCTCAGTAATAACTAAGGTCGGATTTTCTTCTACAAAAAAAAAAAAAAAAAAAAAAAAAAAACAACTTATCAGCGATGTGTGATTTCTTTACAGAAAAAAAAAATCATTACAAAATTTTGGTATCTTTTCCCCATTAAAATTTTTTTGTGGGGAGTGTGGTGAACAAAACGGAACAGAAACACCCTGAACAACAACTACTTGACATTAAAATTGCTTATTTGTATGTGGCAAATAGTTGTGGTGTTGCATGCAACTGCCTGTGGCATTATGAGAGATTTAAATCTCTATGTTTTCTTCTTCTTCTTCGCCATTTTTTTTTTTTGTAATCATATTATCGTGTTGGCATTTTGTATGGAACATAATTTGTTGCCAACATTTCTTATGAGGTGAACATAAGGGGTTTATTTTTGTTGGTCGGCTATTATCATGGCATGTTTCAGTGTAAAAAGGGAACAACAACAACTACAATAGAAAAGAAACAAAGAAAAATGATTCCCTTTTAGCCGAGTGTCATGCACTGTCGCTGTTAATTTGTTTTCTCCCTTCACCTTTTCAAAAAACTTTTTCTGAGGAAAATAATTGTTACCATTGTTGCAGAGTTTTTTTCCGCTGAAGTCCATCCCATGCCACCGAATAACTTGTATTTGAATAACATTATTTTGGGATTTGACTTTTCAAATTCCTCTCAGTCAAAGTGTTGCACAAGGGC